TAAGGGCGCCGAGCGTGAAGTTGACAGCCTTAGCACCACCAGATGTTGGACCACACGTGCGGGGACGGTAAGAATCCATCACAATGAAAACACGTAGACCGAAGGTTACAGACGCGCGGCACCAAGGGGCGTGGACATGGCATACCGAGGGGCGCGGCCGCGGGCAACCTGCTGGCTCTTGAGCCAAAATGGCTACGGAAGGAGGAGGAGGAGGAGGAGGAGGAGGAGGAGGAAGGATGAGGAGGAGGGGGAGGAGGAGGAGGAGGAGGAGGAGGAGGGGGAGGAGGAGGAGGAGGGGGAGGAGGAGGAGGAGGAACGTAACCGAGAGGTAGTAGGGAGACCGCGCCACACCAGGCGACGGAGTCCGAAATGGGGGCACGCCACCAGCGCACAGCACCAAATGGGACACGCATCCGAGAGGGGGGGGGCGCGGCACCACACAGCACGACGCGACACCGCGGTGCGCAACGGAGCCGACAGCTGGTTTCCGCGAGCGGCTTCACGATCGGTGCTGGACAGAAGCTTAGAGCGGTCGCTACGTTGGGGAGAACCTCAAGAGTGTCGCTCGATGGGGGAAGGGCACGCGAGCTGGTCAACGCACCTCCCAGGCTAGAGAGGCCCCCAAAACGGTTCACCGGGCGCTGCAAGGCTCCAGCATGGCCCAAGGTCGATCCGCTGTGGCGCAAGAGGACCCTAAGGGGTAGCCTGACAGACCACCCAAGGTTGCCTCTGCTATGGCCCCAGGCGGCCCTGAGATGGCTCCAAGGTGGCCCTGGAGGCTCCCAAGGAGGCCCTTGAGAGGACAGAGCCATCGAAGGAACTGTTGATGCTCTATGGTCCTGGCGTGCTCGCCTTCGCTCCTTCGAATGGGCCTAGGTAACCTGACGACGGCTCGAAGGAGACCCAAGACGGCCCCAGGAAAGCAAGTAGAAGCCCAAAACGAACCCAAGAGGGCCTTACGTAGCTGGCCCCACAGGGTCCAAAGGGAGCCCCGAGAAGGCCCCGACTGGCCACCTGGAGACTCCCACACATCCCCAAGGGGCATCAAGAGCCCCCAGCAAGCCCAGAGAAGAGCGTCCCGAAGGTGACCAAGAGGGCGTCGAGGAAGCCCAACGTCACAGGCCCAAAAGGGGCGCTGCATGATCCCAACTCGTCAGGAAGTTTCTGAATAGCCACGGGGGGAAGGGGTAAAACACAAGGCACCGCAAAAACAAGAGAGCTCTAGAATTACCCCAGAGCGACCCAGGGGTAGACGTTTGCGGAAGTCGCTCAACGTAGACAACGACACTGACGCGTGTCCTCAATTGTACGTTGGGCTCGTCAGCGGACTACAGAAGAAAACACAGCGCTGCACTTGCACGTCGTAAAAAGATGTACGAAGAACAAGAGAGAGAGAGAGAGAGCGAAAACAAAAAAAAAAATGGAGATGAACGCACCGTCAATGCTGTCAGCTCAATGCAAAGCCGTGGCACCCGTTATTCTGGTCTTCACGGACCCCTTATCTTCGAAGGACTTCTAGAAACAAACTGGAATTGGGCCAACATGCAGACATGAACTCACCTCTCGGAACCAGCCGCCGCAAGGTATCGTTATATGTTTGTTCACATATACAGATATATATAGCGTGCGAGACTTTGTCAGTTTGGGAACCTTACTGGGGCCAAGATAGAACAAGAAATGAGTTCGCAACATGTTGCTCAGGCAAATGAGTTTCTCAACTAAGACCAGCTCGTGTTCGTGACCCTAAGTTTCGGTCCCCATGCGAATGGAAATAACCTCGAAAGGTCTTTTAGACCCCCCCCCGTAATTGGAAACCAAATATTTCCGACAACCTTGTCGACAGACTGGGGTCCAACCAATCGTGGAAAAGAAAAACTTCTCCACGGCGCCCGCCCAACAACAACAACGACGACTACGACTACGATTACGACTAGAACGACGGTTACGACTACGATTGCGACTACAACCACGGGTGCAAGTACGATCCCGATAGCGATTAGAACCACGACTACAATCACGACTGCAACCACAACCACTGATTCCTATTGCAATCCTCACGAGAAGATGCTCACACATCCTTTCGCCTGTAGGGTGGCCCACAATGGATTATTCCATGGAAGAAAAGAAGCCTGGAACATGATCCAGCCTGCCCAACCATAGAGGGAAGATGATATCCACCGCGACGACGGCGACTGCGATTACGACTACGCTTACGACTACGACTACGACTATGCTTGCGACAACAATCACGACTACGATGACGAGTACAAGCACGCCTATCATCACGACTACAACCACAACCACAGATTACCATTGCAGTGGTCATGTGGAGATGCTCACACATGATCTCGCATGTAAGGCTGCCCACGATGGATTACTCCCTGGGAGAAAAAAGCCCCTCCAACATGATCCAGCCCGCCCAACAATAGCGGGAATGGAATCTCCACCGCAACGACGACGACTACGACTACGACTACGATTGCGACTACGACCACGACTACGACTACGACTACAATCACGACTACTATCACGACTACAGTCACGGTTATAGCCACGACAACAATCACGAATACAATCACAACCACCGATTCTGATTAGAATCCTCATTAGAAGATGCTCGCAAATCTTCTCGCGTGTAGGGTAGCCCACAATGGATTATTCCCTGGGAGAAAGAACCTCCCAACATTATCCAGCCCGTAGAACAATAAAGGGAAATTAATCTTCGCCGCGACGACGACGACGACGACGACGACGACGACGACGACGACGACGACGACGACGACGACGACGACGACCGCGACGACGACGACGATCACGATTACGATGACGACGACGACGACGACTACGATAACGACCACGTGGAAGAGCAGGAGGAGGACAAGGAGGAGGAGGAGCAGCAGAACGAGGAGGGGCGAGCTCGCTCCCCGCCGAGAGAACCCAAGGGGGGGGGACTCAGAACCGACGACCTCCCGAGCTCATGGCCAAACGCAGGCGATCGGCAAATTGGGGCCTCGCGCCTCCCTCGAGCCGCTGGCACCCCCGGAGACCTCCCGACCCCGGCCCCGGAGGACCAGAGCCTCTTCCCCGGCCGCTCGGACGGCCGAGGGGCCCCTAGTGAAGGGGCCCTGGGACACACAGATAAATACACACAAATAACAGGATTCCCCATGTTTTCCCATATTTTCTGGGATTTTGTCTTCCCCCCCCACTTCCCATGTTTTCCCATATTTTCTGGGGAATCGACGATTCATTGTGTCTGTGTTTTTCTCCCTCCTGACCTAAGCAGTGTCAGGTCGGGCATGTCCTTGGGCGAAAAATGCAAAAACAAAAAACAAAACAAAACAAAAAACGAAACCAATAGAAAAATCATTCCTGGACATGTTTTACTATCTTCGAATGTTCCCCCCGTGGAGGGGAAAAAAAGGAAACTACTAGAAACATCGTTCCTAGACGTTTTTTACTATCTTCGAACGTTCCCCCCGTAGAGGGAAAAAACGCAAATACTAGAAACCTCGTTCCCAGACGTGTTTTACTATCTTCGAATGTCCCCCCCGTAGAGGAAAAAAAAAAACGAAAAGACTAGAAACCTCGTTCCCAGACGTTTTTTACTGTCTTCGAATGTCCCCCCCCCCCCCGTGGAGAGAAAAAAAAAACGAAAAGACTAGAAGCCTCGTTCCCAGACGTGTTTAACGATCTTCGAATGTTCCCCCCGTGGAGGGACACGCCCGACTGCGCCAGGACGCCGAGGGGCCCCCTGAGCAGCGTGAGGTCGGGCACGTCCTCCTGCAGGCGACTCTTGGGCGAAATGCCAAAAACAAAAAACAAAAAACAAACAAAAAAACGAAGGTAACAGAAAAATCGTTCCCAGACATGTTTTTCACTATCTTCGAATGTTCCCCCCCGTGGAGGCACGCGCCCGACGGCGCCGGGAAGGCCGGGCAAGAAAAAAAGCGAGGGCCGAGACGGCGGCGCGTGGACCTCGGCCTCGCGCTTTCCTGAGAGGGGGCGGGCCCCAGGAGGCACAGATCAAGAGGCGCGGATTCCAGGACTCCGCGCGGTTTTCCTATACATATATATATATATAAACAAAAAACAAACAAACAAACAAACAAACAAACAAACAAACAAACAAACAAACGCTGGATCTTCGTCGTTCCCATCCGCCCTCCTGACTCCTGACTATTTATTGCCTCTGCCTACGTGTCCCTCCTGGCTCCGTTTGGGGAGCCGAACTCTATACACTATATATATATATATATATATACATATATATACATATACATATATATACATATATTCTGGATCTTCGTCGTTCCCATCCGCCCTCCTGACTCCTGACTATTTATTGCCTCTGCCTACGTGTCCCTCCTGGCTCCATTTGGGGAGCCGAACTCTATACACTATACATATATATATATATATATGTATATGATGGATATTCGTCGTTCCCATCCGCCCTCCTGACTCCTGCCTATTGCCTCTGCCTACGTGTCCCTCCTGGCTGCATTTGGGGAGCCGAACTCTATACACAGACGCTGTTTCCAGCCCCGCACTGAAATTTGCAGACAGGACAGCGGATCCTGGTGTATACGGGATCCTGGTGTATGCATGTTTCCGAGTCCTTGCTCCTCTGGGAAAACGGATAAAAAAGTACGTATGCACCACACCGCCCCGACGTCGTCCCCGACCCTCCACAAGTCTGGGGATTGAAAAACAGCGAGCCACGTGAACGTTTTCTTATTCCGCGCTTCGACATTGGGCGAGAGGGAGGGGAGGGAGGAGGTCTGGCTCCGGACCTCTGCTAGATGCGACTGTTTGCAACCGTGCGTCCGATGGGGGAGATCCCACCTGCCTGCAACAGGCGCCAACGAAAAGCCGAGATCTGCTCCAGGGGGGGCGGGGGGCGGAAAAGGAGGCGGGTGCGAGAAGCCCGCGCCGATCGGCGAAACACTGGATGAGAAAACGATCACCTGGCAATGCACGTGCTCCAGCTCCCGACGAGCTCCCCCTCCTGGCGATGCCCCGGGCCGGCCAGGGCCGCGGCGCGAGAAGGCCCCGGCGCCGGCCACGAGGCAGCTCCCAGAGGCCTGGAGAGCCGCGGAGGGGGGGCCCTCGTGGGGCCCTCCCGGGGCCCTCCTGGGGGCTGCGGAGCGCCTCCTGGGGCCATCTTGGAGACCATGGTCCTCGGCGGCAGGCCTCTTGGGGCCTCTCAAGAGCTATGGTCCGGTCGGGCCTGTCCCCCTCCAGGCCGATTTTCCACGAAAAAAGAAAGATGTTCAAAAAATGCTCAAAAATGATCCAGAAAATCGTCCCCAGGCTATTTTTGTAACTATTTTGGAATATTCCTCCTGTAGAGGGACGGGCCCGACTTACAGCTATGGCGCGCTTCCTGGGGCCATCTTGGAGACCATCGACCAGAGGGGGGGTCCGCGGCGCGAGGGGGCAGGTCGGCTCCCCAGAGCCAGGTCGGCCAGGGTCGAATGATGGCGCCGCATCGCCGATGCATCGGCGATGCATCGCCGATGCATCGGCGATGCACCGGCGGTGCGCTGGCGGCGTCGGCGTTGCATCAGCGCAGTCGGCGTGGAGAACGGGCTCCGCATCGAGAAGCATCGCCGATGCATCGGCGATTCGGCGCGATCCTCCGACCCCATTCACTCGGCCCCCAACTGGGAGGCCTAGAATCAAAGAGAGCAGAAAATCCAGCCTGTGAAGAAGCACCCCGACAACCGAACCCGTTTCGCAAACGCACCCAAGGAAGGAATCGAACAGAGCAAAGCTTTTAACAAACGCCCAGGGCCGTTTAGCGAACGCCGATGATCGGGCTCGGGGTGGTTTTCCCTCCCTAGGGATCAGATGAGATTGGCTGGCCCCCGTTAGCGCAGACCCCTGTTACTAGAGGAATTTTGGGATTTGCGCTGGGGCCCTCTGGCGGCGCCTCTGGCGCCGCCCCCGGCGCGCTCCGCGCACCAGGGAGGGGGGTCCAAGCGCCGATCCAAGAGATCCCCGCGGATCTCAAAGAGTTGAGAAGTATGCCGCCTATTCTTCTTCTTCGTCGAGTTACGGAATGCTCATGTTGAATCGACTGACGCGTTCGCTCCTGCCACCGCAAGGGTCGTTCAACCTGGAACGATCGCAGCTGTCCGACATCGAAGACCACTCGTCGTCGACCAATGAATGGCAGGCAACTGGCGGCGTGCAGCCCTGAATGCTTGCGCCGGGGCCGCCGCCGCAGCGACACCAGACTTGTGGATGCCGTGACAATGGACACTCTAACAATCCTATCATTGAGTTTAAAATGTGTTTGAAATGTAGGAAATATTATAAACATGTTTAAGCATGTTTTTTTCCATGCTTGAAACATGTTTAACACATGCTGGAGACATCTGGAAATTACTTGGCAGCATGCCTGCTCTCCAGTGATCGACTTCCACAACACAAAACGAACCTGCCAGATCACCGCCAGACACCTCCGAGCCGCCAGGACGCCAGGGGAGCGCCGGGGAGGGAAGCCAGGGGTGTCGCAGGTCATGGGCCGAGGCACGCGGGCGACCCAAGAGGGGGCAGGGGACGTGTTGAAAGAGGACGAGGAGGCCATGGGATCCAGGCAAATGCCATGCCCCCGGCCATGATACGGTCAAGACGCGTACTGAGGACGGGCGGCAAGGGCGCAAGACCCTTGCAGGCAGGAATCGGGATCTTTTGGGCGGCGGGCGACTCGTGAAAAAGGCAAAGGACGGGCCGACGAGGCAAGGACACAAGGGTGCCCTAGCTGAAGGCCGGTGCACAACCATGGATTAACGATCCAAGGATTTGGCGCGCGGTCGCCAAATCCATGGATCGGGAGGGGTGCCGTCCCCAAACTGCAGCCGGTGCCGCCTCGTTCGGCGGCGGAAATCCGCGATTTCCCATGGGAACGGGGACCCGTCGCTAATCCACGCCCCGTTGATCCATGTTTGCGATCGCCTGACTACTGGGCGCGTTGCCAGTATACCCCTCCCCCCTTGTCACCACCACACTGTGGACGCCCCCGATGGGGAGGGCGACTGGTGGCGGGCGGCCGGACCCTTGCGCACATGTCGTAGTCGCAGCGCGGCCTCTGAGAGCAGGTGTACTGCGTGCCTGGCCACGCGACCCCTCTTCCTTCTCCTCCTCCCCCTCCTCCTCCTCCTCCTCCTCCTCCTCCTCCTCCTCCAATTCCTCCTCGTCCTCCTCCTCGTCCTCCTCATCCTCCTTCTTTTCCTGTTCCTCTTCCCCCTCCTCCTCCTCCTACCTCCTCCTCCTTCCCCTCTCCTCCCCTCCTCCTCCTCCTCCCTCCCCTCCTCCTCCTCCTCCTCCTCCTCCTCCTCCTCCTCCTCCTCCTCCTCCTCCTCCTCCTCCTCCTCTTCTTATGTTTCTTCTTATTAGTATTAGTATTAGTATTAGTATTAGCATTAGTATTAGTATTAGTATTAGTATTAATATTATTATTATTCGTAGTATTATTAATAGTATTATTATTATTCGTTTTATTCCCATTAGTATTAGTTTCATTCTTATTATTATTCTTCTTCTTAGTATTATTATTCGTCTTATTATTATTATTATTATTATTATTATTATTATTATGTTTCTTCTTCTTTTTATTATCATTACGATTATTATTAGCATTATTATTATTATTACTATTATTATGATTCGTCTTATTATCATTATTCTTATTATTGTTCTTATTATTAGTATTACTATTCTTCTTCTTCGTATTATTCCTCTTATTATTATTCTTATGATGATTATTCTTATTATTATACTTATGTTTCTTATTAGTAGTATTATTATTCTTCTTATTCTTATTATTAGCCATATTCTTATTATTATTATTAGTATTGTTATTGCTATTATTATAATTGTTATAAGTATTATAATTAGTATTAGTAGTATTAGTAGTATTCGCATTATTATTATTGATATTAGTACTATTATTATTATTAGTGTTCTTTCTCTTATTTTTTAATTCTATTATTATTCACATTCAGAATATTATTATTGTTCTTATTATAATTATTCTTCTTCTTATTATTATTACTATTGGTATGATTATTATGTGTTGTCTTCTTCTTATTATTCGTATTAGTGTTCGTCTTAGTATTAGTATCACGATTCTTCTTCGTAGTATGTTTATGTTTCTTCTTAGTATTCTTATCAGTGGTATTATTCATATTATTATTGTGTTTCTTATTATTGTTGTTAATAGTACTATTCGTCTTCTTCTTATTACGATTATTAGTATCAGTATTATTATCTTATGATTATTATTCTTATTATTCTTATTATTATTATCGTTACTCTTATTATTCTTCTTATTCATATTATTATTATCATTATTCCTCTTCCTCCTCCTCCTCCTCCTCCTCCTCTTCCTCTTCCGCTTCCTCCTCCTCCTCCTCCACCTGCTCCCGCTCTTCCTCCTCCTCCTCCTCCTCCTCCTCCCCTTCCTCCTCCTCCGCCTCCTCCTCCGCCTCTTCCTCCTCCTCCTCCTCCTCCTTTTCCTCTTCCTCCTGCTCCTCCTCCTCCTCGTCCTCCCCCTCCTCCTTTTCTCAATGGTGGGCCGTCGCCCGTTGGGATCGTTCTGGTAGCCTGCAACCGTAAACTCAAGAGCTCCGCGAACCGAAATGTTCTGTCTGAGCGGGTGAGTGTGGGCAGCGGCACAGGCAGGCTTAAAAAGGGGACGATCGCTGGGGCATTTCAACACCCGTCCTCGATCATCTGGCCACACTGAGTCAAAGAAAAATCGGCCGATCGTCAGACGGACGTCCGGAACCAAATCACACATAGTGGCGCGGAAGCTCCGAGAAAGGTGGGCGGAGACTCAAAACATGAAGACAAATAGCCATGTTGCGCGCTGTGCTCCACCGTAGCGGTGGTTTTGCTCGGTGCGTCGCGGGCTCGACGCTCATCTGCACGCCAGTGGCGCGCCATCCTCACTGCCTCTTTCGCGGAGGCTGCCTCGGCGGAGACCTTCACAGTCACGTAGCCGTCCATCATCGCTTTCGTCCGGTAGCCTCGCTCAGCCTCTCACTTAATCAACGCATCTGCTAGCTGAACCGATGTGTCGCACAACTCCAGGTCAACTCTATCTTGCGAAAGCATCTCCCGTAGGGCTGGGACGACCACTCGTACTCGACGATCCGCAGTCTGGCCAGCGTCCGCGAGGAGGTGGGTCACCAGGCTGTTGGCATCGTCAAACCACTTGGCTGGGATCAGGGTCGCCGCGTCGTCGACCAGGTCGCGCAATGTCTGATCTGACTTCTGCATCTCGTAATAGACCGTCCTGATCCACTCCAGCGCTTCAGTTCCTTCCGTCAGTCCGTGAGCCCCTGCTCCCATCGAGGCTCTACAAAGCCTCTTGATCCTCGAGCTGCCCCAGTCGAGGAAGCGCACCCGCCCTTCTTGTTGGTCGTAGAGGCCGTCGTCGGAGAGCAGGCACACGAAGCATAGCTGAGACTTCATTTTCTCGCCAAGCGGGCCGAGGTCGCGATGCCCCACGTTGTCGAGGCTGCTGTCGGCGAAGACGACAGCACGTAGTTCTACATCTGGTCGTAAAGTGTCGCTACGAACGCCAGGCACATGTCGCGCCTCCTGACAGTAGCGAACCAGCTTATTCATTCCCAATAGGTGTTGCACGGTAGCTTGGTTCCTTTTCTGCTGCGCCAGCCAGCTGTAGCCGAAAAAGACGCCCATCCGAAGTTGCCTGGAAAGCCACCCGAGTGAGCCAATCACCGACTCTGCGAAACTCCGCTCCTCATCCGTAGCCAATGTCTCGATCTGCTTCGCTCTGGCCGGGGACATCACCAGAGTCTCCATCTGGTCAATGAAGTGCGTCATGCGGATATTGATCGCGTAGTCCTCGAGCTGCTCGACGTCGTTGCCGCAGTACCGGAAGGGCGGCTTCTCCTCTGTGAGTAGCAGTACCTTCTCGAGCTCGTACATCGTACTCTTGTACAGGTCACTGCCGGGGTCGCCGGTTGCAAACAGGTCGCCCACGTAGGTGCCAACGAGCCCGACGAGCTTGCCATTCTCGAGAAGGAGGAAGAACGCCCTCTCCAAGCGGCCCTCCTGCCAGGAGTGACTGCGCAGCGTTCTCTGCAGCTTACTCCACCACTTCCTGCCAGCGCCCCCAGTGCCGAAGATGGCGCCATGACAGACGAACCCCGCGTCAGCTTGAACTCCAGGCGGCAGGGGCGCAGGAGGTCGCCGCACGAGCATCCGGTCAACGCCATCTCCACGAAGGTACGCACTCGCAGCGCCAAGCTTGAAGAGGGGCCAGTGCATCCTAGCCGCCGCGCTGCAGATCACGCGGAATAACAGCAAGGGCGAAGTAGGGGAGTCCGTCCTCACGCGGACCGACTCGCAACACCCGACCGCGACCAGTCGAGACTTCGCCTTCGGGGGTAGCTTCGGGTCGTACTCGCCCTCATTCGCGTGGACCCATCTCGATGGCATCGCCTTGACCCTGCCCAGCAACTCCTTGGCCGTATCGCCTGTGACCACGGTCACCACCATGAAGTTGCGCTGGTTCTCCCACTCCTTGGCCATGCTCGCGTCGAACTGGAGTCTCTCTGTCTTTGTGAAGTTCATGAGATTGATCTCCTTCCCCCCGGTCATGCCAGCCAGACGTCGCTGATCCAGGCGTGGAAGGAAGCATTGTTCAAGTCGTACTCCACCAGATGGGCTCCAGACATGGCCCCCCCCACCGCCGCCTCGGAGGCGCCGTGAGATCTGGGGAAATATCGTGGCCCCCGCCATGATATCCACCCCCCCCTAGTCCTCACCCCCCTCTCTGCCGCCCCCGAACAGGGTCACTTCGACAATTCACTCATCGACGCGTCAGGGTAGGAGGTCCGCCCACCCCCGCAGGCACGGGCACACCTTCGCCGCGCACAGGGCCGCGCTCTGGCACCGGCGGCACGTGCGCGGCCCAGCGGGGGGGCCAGGGACGCAACGAAATAAGAGAGGAGGCGCCACGAGATCTGGGGAACTATCATGGCCCCCGCCGTGATATCCCCCCCCCCTGGTCATCACCCCCCTCTCTGCCGCCCCCGAACAGGGTCGCGCCCTGGCACCGGCTCTCGAGCACGGGGGCCCGCGGGGCGAGACCCTCGCCCCGCCGCGCCTCCGCCGCCTCCGCGCCGCTGCCCCGTAAAAATGGCCGAAAACGGCCAATTCCTGAATCGACGCGTCAGGGTAGGAGGTCCGCCCACCCCCGCAGGCACCGGGACACACAAATAAAAACACACACACACACATAAGAAAGATTCCCCATAGTTTCCCCAGATCTTCTGGGTGCTTGTCTTCCCCCCCACCTCCCATATTTCCCCATCTGTTCTGGGGGATCGGCGCGTCAGGGCAGGAGGCCCGCCCGCCCCCGCAGGCCACGGGCACACCTTCGCCCCGCACAGGGCCGCGCCCCGGCACCCGGCGCTCCCGCACGGGGGCCCGCGGGGCGAGGGCCCCGCCCCGCCGCGCCTCTCGGCCGCCGCGCCGCGCCGCTGCCCCGTCGGGGGGGGGGGGCCGTGGGCTCCTCGGCCTCGGCCCGGGCCCCGCTGAAGGGGCCCCGGGACGCACAAAGAGATAAGGGCACACAGATAAGAAAGATTCCCCATAGCTTCCCAGATCTTCTGGGTCTTTGTCCTCCCCCCCACCTCCCCTATTTTCCCCTATTTTCTGGGGGGATCGAGAGAAAGACTCCCCATATCTTCCAAGATCTTCTGGGTTTTTGTCTTCCCCCCCACCTCCCATATTTTTCCCATCTTTCCTGGGGGATCGACGATTCATTGTGCCCCTGTGGGTTTTTTCCCCTCCGGATCCTCGGCCGCCCCTGGCGCCGGGGCGCGGCCGCCCGACGGGGGGGCGGGGAGCGGCTCCCCTCCCGCGGCGGCAGCGCTCTCCTCGCCGCCGCCGCCCTCACACGCCCGAGCGATGCCGAGTCGTCGACGCCTGCGCGCCGAGCGCCCAGGAAGCCGCGAGGTCCCGGCGGAGGAGCAGCGCCCCTCGCCGGCCGGCCGGCATCTGGCCCCGGGCGATCTGCTCGTCCTGCGTCGCGAGCCTCGGCTGCCCAGGTCGCGCCAGGACCGCGCCGCCACCGTGTCGCAACCAGGTCGCGCGAGGGCTGCCTCGGACGGCAGCTGGGCGAAGTGCAGCGTGGATCCCGTCTGCCCTCTCGTTGGGGTCGCGGCAGCCGTGGCCATGATCACGCGGCGACGCCGGACCAGCGGTGGAAAGGCGCTGGGGACTCGACGGGCCCCGCGCGCGCCCGCCCGAAGCAGACGTTGGCTCCGACGTGAAAGGGTCCCCGAATAGGCGTCGACCTGGCCAGCTTCGCCCTCCCCACTCGGCTGTCGCCATCCATCCTCACGAAGGCGACCTCGGCAGCTTCGCGCCACAGTAAGCTCGAGGCCATAGCGGACTCCCTATCTTTTGCGGGCGGGCCCTGACCCTGAGACTCCATCGGAGTGGGCGTTGCCGAACGAAGGTGGACAGCATGCTTGGCGTTTCGACGACAAAGCACTGTGTTCGCTTGACCAGGCTGATGATCTACTTCGTGAATTCGAGGGGTGTCTGGCTCTACGGCAATGGCGTAGTGCCGCTGAGCTGCATTGTGGAGCTGGGTTGGAGAATGGAGCGGATCTTTTGGACCTGCAGCACGTGAACAAAACACGGCAGCTGCCGGAAATTATGCTCACGATTTCAGTTGCAGGTGCTTGCACAAAGGCGCGAGAGCATGCAGTCAACCTTTGCTCCACTGATGTTTGTGATCGATGTTATGAGGCTCTCGAGTCTGACGTCTACAGATATTGGTTGTGCGGGTGCAACACAGATACTCGTGCTTATTCGGAATCAGAAGAATATGTGCCAGAAGCTCTGGCAGATCATGATGCGCACGCTTGTTCTTGAAGACGCGGCATCATACCAGCGCCTTGGACGCAGGTAACGCCATCGGCCGATCAGGAGCGTTGGAAAGGCAGCAACCTACACGGAGACGGAGTTGGTCCAGAATGTCGCGGCCACGGGACTCCAGCAGCTCCCTTGCACGTGTTCGGCGACGCCTCAGGCGGACGCGACACACACGATCCCAGGCTAAGGCGTGTTGGCTTGGCGGTGAGTATCATCCATTTGGTTGATCCTTTTAAAGTTGGGTCATACCTGCTTGGTCCGCCCATTGAAGGTGCACAAACAGTTGCCAGAGGAAAGCTAGCTGTTTTCGAACTGGCGATCAGATGCACCACATGTTCTATGATTGCGTGACAGATTGTGAGGTATGTCGTGGATGGTGGGCCAGGTTGTACGATCACCCAAAAGGTCAGTTGTCAGGTCTCTAGCGCCAGATAGGACGCTGACTTCAGCATCGTCCTCTGTAGGAGATCGTAGTGGTCCAGATCCCTTCCCACCTAGAGCCTGGGGAAAGTGTTCGACGGCCTCACCCGGCATGGATGGTGCAAGGGAACGAGGTGGTAGACAGGCGTGCCCAGCAGGCCGCTGATGATCACCGAGTCTCAGAGATTGAACGAGATCGTGTTGCCACGACCGAGAGGAAAGCACTACATGCAAGGAGGCTTTGAGGACTGCTCTGAAATATTTCCATCCAGCATGAGCAGACACCTTGGCAGCCGCGGAGGCTCAGAACTGTCGGGATGCGCAGCTGGCGCACCACGAGCGGGAGCATGATCAGCCGCCGCCTCCTTCGCCTCTCCCTCCTCCTCCCGCTCCATCTGCTGTACAGTCGGGGCGTTGATCTAAGGAACCCTAAATAAGGAACGGGGCCCCTTTTCTCCCATAAGTTGAACTTGGATTTCCCATGGAAAACCTCAGGAAAACCTAAGGCAAACTGCAGAACAATCAAGGAACACGGAGCCCCTCCCAAACGAAAAGGGTTCCTTCTTCAGGGCCCCGACTGTAGCACGCATCGCGACTGCGCATACCTTGGCCGAGAACGGCAAGAGTTGTGTCTTGTGCAGAGGATCCGCCACCATCGCCGCTCGCACCGAATGGTCGGAAAGAAAGCGTGTTCCCCTCGCTTCTCTTGATGGTAGGGCGTCTCGGCTCCGTAAGGGGGTGCCAAGTACATATTGCTGGAGGTTGGGCCCACCCCTCGCACGCGCTAGTGTTCCATCATAGTTGTGGTATCTGGTTGTGTAACACTTGCGGCTACTTCGGCCAGGCCCAGCTCAGGGGTCTCACTAGCACATGCACGCTACCCATTTCCAGGCCACGTCGCGAGTATTTAGATCGTATGACTCGCGATGTATACCCCAAGGCGTGAGTTTGTCCTCTCTGAGCCTCGAGCGTAAGCTTGAGTGGAGGATTTGTTTAGTTCGGTACGCGAAGGCTGTAATTCCTGTAATTCCTCCTCCTCCACCTCATTATCTTCCTCCTCCTCCTCCTCCCCATCATCATCATCATCATCATCATCATCATCATCATCATCATCATCATCATCATCATCATCATCATCATCATCATCATCATCATCATCATCATCATCATCATCATCATCATCATCATCATCATCATCATCATCATCATCATCATCATCATCATCATCATCATCATCATCATCCATCATCATCATCATCATCATCATCATCATCATCATCATCATCATCATCATCATCATCATCATCATCATCATCATCATCATCATCATCATCATCATCATCATCATCATCATCATCATCATCATCATCATCATCATCATCATCATCATCATCATCATCATCATCATCATCATCATCATCATCATCATCATCATCATCATCATCATCATCATCATCATCATCATCATCATCATCATCATCATCATCATCATCATCCTCATCCTCATCCTCATCCTCATCCTCATCCTCATCCATCATCATCATCAGCAGCATCATCATTACCATCAGCAGCATAATCATCAGTATCATCATCATCAGGAGCAGCAGCATCATCACCAGCAGCATCATCAGCAGCAGCAGCATAATCATAAGCATCATCAGAATCAGAATCAGAATCGCAATCATGACCGTCGTCGTCATCACCACCACAACAAGCGTCATCATCATCATCATCATCAGCAGCATCACCACAACCACCGCCTATCAGCTGCACGGCGCAGATTTCACTCCCCCGTTCCCAGCCCCCTCTCTGTCGTCCGACCCGATCCTCCCCCCTCGTTCAGGGGGCGCCCCTCCCCCCCCCGATAAAGAGAGAGAGAGAGAGAGAGAAAAAAAAAAAAAAAAGAGAGAGAGAGAGAGAGAACGCTGTCGCCCGGTTGCCCCGCCCCGGGGAGGCCTGCGGAGGCGTCCAGAGAGGCCCAAAGGAAGACCCAGAAAGCGCCCAGAGAGCATCGACCCCCGAGCATCGAACCTCGAACCTCGGAGGCGGGGCAGGAGTTCCTCGGCGCCACGAGAGGGACGGAGAGTCGCGAGCGTGACGCCGCGGGGAGCGGCGGCGGCGCCGAAATGGCGGCACATGTCGCAGTAGCGCTTGGACCGGAAGTTGGAGTCCCGAGTGTCCAACTGCGGCCGCAGTCGCGGGGGGCGGAGAAAGCTCGGATACGGTAGACGAAGAAGAAGAAGAAGAACAAACAAAAAAAAAAACGCAAACATAAGCTTTTGTCGCTCCGTGCAGATTTCTTGGATCTGCGCCTGACCCCCCTCCCTGGCGCGCGGAGCGCGCCAGGGGCGGCGCTAAAGGCGCCGCCGGGGTGGCCCCGGCGCGGATCCAAAAAATCCGCGCAAAGCGCCAAAAGTTTACATTCATTGCGTTGTTGCCGGAGTGGCCCCAGCGCGGATCCAGAGAAACCGCGCGAGGCGCCAAAAGCTTACGCTCATTGCAGCTTTTCGTCCTCGAAGGGGTCCACCTCTGAGCCCGTCCACCTCCGATCGTTGCACCTGACTGTCCTCCTCCTCCTCCTTCCAGCTCCTCCTCATCATCTTCCTCCTGCTTGTCATCCTGCTTATCGTTCTGCTCATCCGCCGCCACCTCCTCCCTCTCCTCCTCCCAATGTACACAGCTCCCCCTTGTGCTCGATGGAGTCGTCTGGGGAGTTCCAGGTCCGCTGTGAACCCCGTCGGCGGATCGGATGGGAAAGGATGGGTGGAGGGATCAGATGTCACATACAGTCATCGTGCTACCAAAATGAACGCTGCAAGGGACGAAACATCTCTCTTGGCCTCGAGACCGCCTGGGTGCACGAGGAGCGCTGAGGACACAACCGTGGGAGGACCTCCCAGGAACGGAAGCCGCTTCCGAAACGGAGCTCTGGCCCGGCATGTCCCTCCCTCTCGCCATCCCCCCCCCCTGCTCGCCGCCCCTCGCAGCTCCTCCCCCTCCTCCCCCCCGAGGGGCAAGCGAACGGCGCACTATCATCGGGTGCCCGTACTTGCACCCAGGAGTCCTGCCCTTCATGCCGGGAATGCCGCCAGGGGGCACGATCTCGTCGCCTGGCCGGAGGGGAGAGGAGAGGAGGCAAGAGGAGAGAGGGGAAAGGGAGACCTTGGGAAGCAACTCCTGGGAAGTCTTCGTGGGAGCGAGGACGAGAATATTATGATGAGATTGGCTCAGGATACGTTTCAGGATGTCTTGAGTATCTAGCGGCCCCCGTTTCAGAAGCCCGTGTGGAACATTCAGAAATCGTGTGAAAGTCCTGTCAGTGTTGTAACGCATCATTATCATGACCTCTTGATCCTCTGAAGGACGGTTAAGGACCAGTAGGCCCGAATGTAAGGCCATTAAGCCAGATTGAGGACAGCATCCATAAAAGAAAGCAAAAACTAACAACCTGAAGGCTCTTCCGCGCTGAGGACCCGAACTGAAACAAACCAGAAACAGCGTCGCATCAACAACGGGCTAGCGCCGCACCAGCCCACAAGATTCGGAGGACGGCGACGACGAGGACACGAGCACAGAGGGGGGGAACGAACGGCGAGGCGACAGGGCAAAGCCTGGGCCCCGCTAGCCGATTTACCCCTCTGGATGGGGATGCAGGTCGTTCTCTTCGGGTTTCGAGGGGTGTATCCCCACTTGGGGTGGTAATTTGGTGGGGGTCTCGAAGGGGATGGAGATGGAGATAGGGGATCGGTTGAACGATACCGAAGAAAGGACACCCAGGGCCTAATCACCGGTGCGGCGAGGGCCGCCGCAGCGCAGAGGGGGGAGGGGAGAGAGAGCAGCACAGGTCCGCGCGCTGGTCTCTCTCGCGCCTGCACGCCGGCACCCCTGCCTGCGCTGGGCTGGGAAGAATTGGAGGCCTGGAAATGGGCACCAGCACCAACACAGGGGGTTGCCTCCACAGGGGGGAGACGATCCTAGATTCCGGTGGTGGTAATATTTCGGTCACCTTGGAAGCCAGAATATATTACCACCATCACCGAGACCGGGACCTTCTTCCCTCGGTGGAGGCACAACGCCGATATTGGTGCTGGTGCCAACCTCTGGGCCTGCGAAAGAAAGACGGAGGGAGGAGAGGAGGAGGGAGGAGAGGAGGAGGGAGGAGAGGAGGAGGAGGAGGGAGGAGAGGAGGAGGAGAGGAGGAGGGAGGAGGAGGAGGAGAGGGAGCATGCACAGGGCGGGCAGCGGAGGCGGGGGCGGTCGTCGGGGCGGCGCCGACCGGGCGGCAGCGGAGGCGGGCTGCGGCAGGCGCGGGCGCGCCAGGAGCAGCGCGGCAGCTGCCGGTGGCGGCGGCGGCGGGGTGCGGCAGGCGCGCGGGCGCGGGGGGCAGCGGGGCAGCTGCTGGCGGGGGCGGCCCGGGGCGATCGGCCGGATTAGCTCAGACGAATCCGAGTTGGAGCAGTGGCCGCAGCAGCTGGACTAGCGAGGGCTGCTGGGGGTGGTGGGGAGTTGGACCAGCCCCCCGGACTGCGTGAGCCCAAGAGTCGGCCCACTCAGGCGGGACTCAACGGAATCAAGCGGGACTAGACCGAGCACGGCTGGTTCCAGGCCACGGATCTACCAGCGCCGGTGCGGAATGTCACATCCCAGGAGTTGCATCCTAAGAGGCCCCAACTCCAGACTCGAGACTATCGGGTCCGAGGTTTTTGTTTCCCCAGAGCAACTTGTAAGTAACACTTCTACATGTTCTATGTCACGCACGTGTCATGGGACGCACAAGGGCATGCTAGTACTATGCATCCTCCTCGGAGGCGTGCATCCGACCCAGACATATAGTACACGTAACCATCTTGTAGCAGATCGTCACCCGAGCGCTAAGGCCAGAAAGCGCCCGCCACGACGCGTATACTGGACGATTTTTCTCGGCGCGCGCGTCGCCTCTGGGGGGGCGACGCACACATAGTGTTAGTATGTTGGGGCGACGCCGATGTGCGTGCGACCTCCCCTGCGTCCGGAGTCGGCGCATCGTCGCCCGTGGTCTGCTGCGCGGTCGCCCATCACGTGGCCTCTCGCGCGCGGACCCCCGCAGGGTGTTCCCACACATGGCTGCCCGCAAGGCCTCCCCCGTGGTCTCCCAGGTGGTCTCCCCCTGTGGTCCCCCCGTGGGTCTCCCGGGTGGTCTCCCTCGTGGTCTCCCGTGTGGTGGCCCTTCTGGTCTCCCGCATCGTCTCCAAATATGGTCTCCCGCGCGGTCTGCAGCAGGATCTCCCGCACTCTCTCCCGCACAGTCTCCCACAGGGTCTCCCGTATGGGAAGAGGTTGGACGAGCCTGGGGGGGAACCGAAAGATGACCCCCAAGAGAGCCGAAATATGACCCCAGAGGGCACCATCCCCAATGTTTCCCCGATGCCTGTCCCCGAACTCTGAGAGAACACGCAGTAGACTAGCATGGCCGACGCCTTCGCTCGACATTTCTCCACGTGGACATTTCCAGACGGCAAGCGGCGGCGGTGATTCGCTGTAGGCGTCTTCGGTAAACGTTCCGCGCATACTTGATGAACTCCAGTTGGGGTAGTAGGGCGTGGGACGCGGGTCGGCTCGGGGTTTGTCTTGGGGCGGGGTTGGGTTTGGGTCGGGGTCGCGTAGGTCGGGTTGGGGCTTTGGTCGGGTTCTGCGTTAAGCTCCGGGTAAGGTGTTGGCTTGGGGTCGGGGGTTTAGACGTGCTGTTGCGCTTGGCATGGGCTACGTTCGGGGTTACGTTCGGCTTTCCTGGGGAACTTCAATACTACAGATGTTCTCCGTTTCAGCTTTCAATTTCGACATGGGCTGCGGCGCGATACGAGGGCACGCGCACGCGCGCGCGCACGCAAAGGGAATCAATATCCAGAAGATTCCCCAACGCAGCCACCGCACCCCCAGCACCCCCCTAGAATCCTAGCAAGACGATCGGCGAGCGGGATCCTGTGATCCCGGGGTCGTCCCCAGTCCATACTACTACCTGTTTACACTTGGGCCCCGTACAATTACGACTTTACAGGCGATGGATGTCAAAACCCCAGGCCAGTGCGCAGAGTTCCCGCAGAGCCCCGAATCCCACATCGCGTCGCCGCGAAGCCTTCGGAATCCCGAGGGGGTCCTACCGCCAGCGCTCTCATCATCATCCCCGACACTGGCCATTACGTTTGCTGTTCCGTTGCAGCGAGCTCTGGCTCAGGTGCAAGCTGCCGCCACTGCGCTCGCCATCGCTCGGACGTCCATTACCCGTGCATTGTTCGGTTTCGTGCGTGTATCGTGCGTGTATTTTTCGCGCGATTACCTCAAATGCTTCAATGGTCCTTGCCGAGAAAAAACGCACACGTCCGAGCGATGCCAAAAACGCCGCCCCGGCTCGCAAGGATGGCGTCCGCGCCTGGCCGGGCGAAGCGGCCCTCGAGCGCCCCAGGGCGCAACGCCGCGGCGGGCCCTGGCAGACACCTCGAGGACCTTGCGAGGCTGACGTCACGGAGACGTCCCGGTCCCCGCGGCGAAGGCCCCAGCATGGCCCCGACGGAAGCCACGACCCTCCTCGAAAGCAAGCGCAAGTGTTCAGCGCGGATCGACGCGCGAAACGCGGCCCGCGGGGCCACTGTGTGTGCGGTTGCCGTCGCCGGCCTCGGCACGGGTCGAGAGCTCGGGGTGTCTTGGGGCGCCGCCGCGTCGCGGGAGAAAGTCGCGCATGCTTTCGTGGAAGGAGGAGGAGGAGGAGGAGGAGGAGGAGGAGGAGGAGGAGGAGGAGGGGGAGGAGGGGGAGGAGGGGGAGGAGGAGGGGGAGGAGGAGGAGGAGGAGGAGGAGGAGGAGGGAGGAGGAGGAGGAGGACTCCTGAAAGCCTTCTGCGGACTCGCGCCCGGTGAAAGCTGGAGCCCGGACTCGGGAGCGCCAGCGAGGCCTCTGCGTCGACCGAGGCGCCTCGACGACAACGGGCCGCTTCACCAATTGCATGGGCCGGAAGCTGGAGCCTGAAAGCGGCGATCGTGCCGCTTAGTCATATAGTATGCTCGGTGCCTGCTGATGCTTGTTCCGTGTTTGCAGCTTGGGTACTTGGGCTTGAGTGGTCACTCGTCGGGCGCTACTGGGAACGATTCAAGCCCGAAGCCTAGGGCCCTCAAGAGATGGCGGCGACGCCCTCATGAAACCTCGTCGCGGGAGGGGGAGGAGGAAGAGGCGGAGAAGGGTGGAGCGGGGGGAAACAATAAACATATGGCGTCCCCTCTCCTGCATTGACTGCCTCTTCGATCGCAATGAAACGTCGGACTCTCCAACATTCTAAAATCTGAGTCGTATCTAAAGTCCGCCGGCCCCCTTGTGGGGCCACCAGGGTCTGCACCAGTTGCAGTTTTCAGTTTCCAATGCGATGGCTCTACTTTCTGCTTCCTACTGTTAATTGTTACTGAACGCGCCAGGGGGGGAGCCGAAAAGCGCCCAGGGGGGTTCGCAGACTTCCCAGGGGGCCGTGGGACACGTTCAAATATGTAAGACTCGCGCCCCTGAGGCCATAAACCCTTGTAAATTACACCATGTTCGCGTCCTCGAGGCCAGGAACCTTCGCAATTCATGCCAAACTCGCGTCGTAAATTATAAATTGTCGCGCCCCCTAGACCATAAACCCATGTAAATGACTGAAGATTCGTATCCCCGAGGCCATAAGCACGGTCATACAACTTCGCAAAGTACGCATTAGTTGCGTCCTCGAGCAAATTATACTATATTCGCGCCCCCGAAGCCATCAACCCTTTAAAATTCATAAATTCGCGCCTCCCGGGCCATCAACCTGAACAAATTAGACCATACTTGCGTCCCCGAGACCACAACCCTTGCAAATTACTCTATATTCGCGTCCCCGAAGCCACAAACTCTCGTCAAATACACAATATTTACATCCCCGAGGCCATAAACCCTAGTAAGTGTCATGATAGTTGCGTCGCCGAGGCCATAAACCCTCGTAAGTTCTGCAATGTTTGCGCCCCCGAGGCCATAAACTCTAGTTACTAAGGAATTCAGGCAATACGTTGTGAACCTGAATATGCCGCTTACCGATCGCCCTCGCATGAGGTCCTGGCATTGCTTGACAGTGGCGCCGAGGAAATCCAGCATAGCTCTGGCATATCCTATTCCGATGGAGAGGGGGCCGGCGGCAGGGGGCGAAGCCCTTATATATATATATATATATATATATATATATATATATATAGAAAGAGAGAGAGAGAGAGAGAGAGAGCAGTGCACACGTGGGCCCATTTGGCCGCCCACGAACGCGACATGGTTGAGAGCGTTCCCTCGCGCAGTGTCGGCGCGATTGCCAGCTGCCCGATCCTGGGCCTCCTGTTAGAGGCGTCTCCTCCTGCTCTCTGCGGGACGCCAGCGGCCTGCTCCCTCCGGCCAGTGCCCCAAACCTTTCGCAGCTTCGGGGCAGAGTCAGAGACCGGGTGCAGGCCAAAGGCCGACCTGCACACGCGGGCTTGCTACTCCGCCAGTGCCGCTGCCACTATCCACCACCACGACGCCGTCCCCCTGCCTCCGATCCCTCTTGCTCTTGGAGGCGCGTACAACGGGGCAGGAGGAGGGGGGAAGGCTTCTTGGAAGGAGGCTGCTGCTTAGAAGGCGCTGGCCTTACAACTACAGACAAGGCCCGCGCCTACTAAGAAACACGGGTGCTTTTAAGAATCCTTCCCCCCTCCCCCTAACCTCTCTCCGCGCGTGCCCGATACTCCTCAGCTCCATCCCCTCCCCCTAGACCGCCACCTCCCCCCCCGCCCCCATGGGTCTCCTCACCTCCATGCCCCCCTCCTCTCCTTGCAGAGGAGCACGCGGCGTCGGGGCCATGATTGTACGGCGTAGGAGCAAAAGCCGGCTTCCACGCTTTTCTCCTCACTGCAGCCCTGGGGGGGGGGCAAGGCAGGAGCGAGAGCCGGCAGTCCTCCTTCCCTCCCCTCTTAGCCTCTTGCCTTCTCCTCCTCCTCCTCCTCCTCCTCCTCCTCCTCCTCCTCTTCCTCCTCCTCCTCCTCCTCCTCCTCCTCCTCCTCCTCCTCCTCCTCCATCCCCGTCCTCCTTCCCTCCCCTCTCGGCCTTTTCCCTGTTCCTCCCCCTCCTCCTCATCCCCGTCCTCCTCCTCCTCCTCCTCCTGCCCCTCCTGCTCCTGCTCCTGCTCCTCCTCCTCCTCCGCCTCCTCCTCCTGCTCCTCCTGCTCCTACTGCTCCTCCTGCTCATCCTGCTCCTCCTCTCCTCCTCCTCCTCCTCCTCCTCCTCCTCCTCCTCCTCCTCCTCCTCCTCCTCCTCTTCCTCCTCCTCCTCCTCTCCTCCTCCTCCCTCCTCCTTGTTCTCCTCCCCCCCTCCTCCCCCTCCACCTCCTCCTCCTCCTCATCCTCCTCCTCCTCGCCCCTGCCCCTGTCCCTGCTCCTGCTCCTGCTCCTCCTCCTCCTCCTCCTTCTCCTCCTCCTCCTCCTCCTCCTCCTCCTCCTCCTCCTCCTCCTCCTCCTCCTCTTCGTCGCATTATTATTCTTATTAGTATTATTATCATTCGTAGTCTTATTCTTCTTAGTATGTTCATTAGTGTTCTTATTAGTAATAGTATTCTTTGTATTCGTATTATTATTATTATTAGTATTAGTAGTATTATTACTATTAGTATTCTTATTCTTATTATTAAAATTATTATTAGTATTATTATTAGTAGTAGTAGTATTATTATTATTAGTATTATTAATATTAGTATTCTTATTATTATTAGTATTATTATTGATATTATTATTAGTATTAGTATTATTATTAGTAGTATTATTAATAATAATAATAGTAGTGTTACCATTATTAGTATTAGTATTAGTATTATCATTTCTAGTATTATTATTACGACTATTATTAGTAGTATTATTAGTATTAGTATTATTATTATTATTTCCATTATTAGTATTATTTATTAGTAGTATTAGTATTATTCTTGCTATTACCAGTATTATTATTGTTATTAGTATTATTATGTGTATTAGCATTAGTAATCTTAGTCGTCCTATAATTATTCGTATTCTTAGTCTTAGTACTAGTATTACTAATCTTCGCATAATTATTAGTATTATTAATATGATTAATCATATTAGTATGGTTAGTCTTCTTCTTCTTCGTGTTCGTATTATTCAGCTTGGTCTGCTTATTCTTAGTAGTAGTATTATCATCAGTATTCTTAGTAGTAGTATTATTAAGTTTATTAATAATAGTATCACTACTATTCTTCCTCATCCTCCTCATCCTCCTCTGACTCCTCCTCATCCTGCTCCTCCTCCTCCTCCTCCTCTTCCTCCTCCTCCTCCTCCTCCGCCTCCTCCTCCTCCTCCTCATCCTCCTCCTCCTCATCCTCCTCCTCCTCCTGCCCCTCCTGCTCCTGCTCTTCCTCCTCCTCCTCCTCCTCATCCTCCTCCTCCTCCTCCTCCTCTTCCTCTCCTCCTCTCCTCCTCCTCCTCCTCCTCCGCCGCCGCCCCGCCCTCCGCCCTCCGCCCCCCGCCCCCCGCCCCCCGCCCCCCGCCGCCCCCCGCCCTCACCGCCCTCCGCCCTCCGCCCTCGCCCTCCGCCTTCCGCCCTCCGCCCTCCGCCCTCCGCCCTCCGCCTCCGCCCTCCGCCCTCCGCCTCCTCCCTCCGCCCTCCTTCCTCCTTCCGCCGCCCTCCTTCCTCCGCCCTCCGCCCTTCGCCCTCCGCCCTCCGGCCTCCGCCTCCGCCCTCCCGCCCTCCCGCCCTCCGCCTTCCGCCCTCCCGCCCTCCGCCTTCCTTTCCTTCCTCCTCCTCCTCCTCCTCCTCCTCCTCCTCCTCCTCCCCCTCCCTCACCTCCCTCCCTCCCTCCCCCTCCTCCCTCCCTCCCTCCCTCCCTCCCTCCCTCCCTCCCTTCCCCCTCCTCCTCCCGTTCCTCCTCCCCCCTCCTCCCTCCCTCCTCCTCCTCCTCCTCACCTCCTCCTTCCTCCTCCGCCTCCTCCTCCCTCCTCCTCCTCCTCCTCCTCCTCCTCACTTTCCTCGTCCTCCTCCTCCTCCTCTTCCTCCTCCTCTTCCGCTCCTTTTCCTCCTCCTCCTCCTGCTCATCCTCCTCCTCCTCCTCCTCCTCCTCCTCCTCCTCCTCCTCCTCCTCCTCGTATTCCTCCTCCTCCTTCTCCTCCTCCATTCCTTTTGCTTACAATGATACCTATCATAATATGTGTTGGCCTATGGGGCTATGGGGCTATAGGGCTATGGGGCTATTGGGTTATAGGGCCATACGGCTATAGGTATATAGGCATGTAGGGTTATAGGGCGATAGCGCCATAGGGCTATAGGGCTGTATGGCTATAGGGCTATGTGGCTATTGGGCTCTAGGGCCATGTGGCTATAGGGCTGTAGGGCCATACGGCTATAGGTCTGTAGGGCTGTGAGGTTGTTGGGCTCTAGGGCGATTGGGCTACAGGGCTATTGGGCTATAGGGCAATGAGGCTATGGGGCTGTAGGGCTATAGGGCTATAGGGCTATAGGACTGTAGGGCTATAGGGCTATAGGGCTACCGGGCTATTGGACTGTAGGGCTATAGGGCTATAAGGCTATAGAGTTCTCAGACTATGTGTCTGTAGGAGTTTAGAGCCATGGGGCTATTGGGCTATAGGACTATAGGGCTCTTGGGCTATGGGGCTATAGGGCTATAGGGCTATGGGGCTATGGGACTATGGGACTATAGGGCTATGTGGCTGTAAGGCACCCAGGCACCCAGGCACCAGGGCATCCGAGGGCACCCTGCACCCGGGCACCCGGGAAATCGGCGGCGAACCTCAGCTAACCTTATGGATCCACAATGACCCCTACAGAGGCAAGCTTTGATTGGGGAATAACTTCGCCTTGTCGCACCCCAACACTAATGTTTAGGCGGGCCCGGCGTTTCGCCTGAGAGACTTCCACACAATGTATGACCCTGAACCTTAAAAATTGACAACCGTGTCACAGACAGAGGACGGGTGGTGCTCAAAGTGTGGCTCTCGCCTGAGCGCCGTGCATATTCGTTCTTTAGAACGTGCAAGAATTTCACGGATTGAGGGCCACCCGTCTTCAAAATGTGACTCTCGCCTTCGCGCCGCGCACATTCGCTTTGAAAGGATTGCAAGACTTTCAAGGACTGAAGGCAATGCATTTTCCTATGCGGTTCTCACCTTCGCGCCGCGCACATTCGTTTTAAACATGTGCAGGAGCTTCACGGATTGAGGGCCACCTGTTTTCAAAATGTGGCACTCGTTTTGGAAAACTACAGAAGCTTCACGGATTGACGGCGGCTCCTTTTCATAATGTGGTTCCCGCCATGGCGCCGCGCAAATTCGCTTATAAAATGTGCAGAGGAAGAATTTCAAGAACTTCCATGAAGTAAATACCAAAAATTGTGTTTTGTTTGCTGGATTCCGGATTTTGTGGGCGCACCAGTTCCGTAATTCGCGGTGTTGAAATCCTGAGAATTACGTTCTGGCACGATTCAGGATCGTCAAAACGCGTTCTGGCACGATTCAGGATCGTCAAAAACGCAACCGTGAGGCTGATCCGTGGCAGTGGGATCCCGAGGACAACGTTCTGGCATGCTTCAGGGTCTACAAACGATTGTCTTCCAACGCGGCAGTTCCCTCAAAGGGAATGAACCGTTGTATGGGGCCTACGAAGAAGGAGTTTGGATGGATGGTTTATTCCAACATCGTTGATGGCTCTTGGGTTTACACTAGTCCTCCTCTTCCTCCTCCTCCTCCTCCTCCTCCTCCTCCTCCTCCTCCTCCTTTTCCTCCTCCTCCTCCTGCTCCTCCTCGTCCTCCTCGTCCTCGTCCTCCCTCCTCCTCCTCCTCCTCCTCCTCGTCCTCCTCCTCCTTCTCCTCCTCCATTCCCTGTCCGTACCTTTTATTGTTTACATAAAACAACAACAAAAAAACTAGTCCCTGTCGCACCCCGAAGCTAGACTTTGGGTCGGGCTGGGCGTTGCGTTTGAGACTTCCTCACCATATATGACCCAACACCTTAAAAATTGACGGCCGTGTCACAGACAGAGGGCGGCTGGTGCTCAAAATGTGGCTCTCGCCTAAGCGCCGCGCATATTCGTTTTGACCGTGTGCAAGAGCGTCACGGATTGAAGGCGGTTCCTTTTCAAAATGTTGTTTTCGCCTTCGCGCCGCGGGCAATCGTTGTAGAAATTTACAAAAGCTTCACGGATTCAGGGCAGTTCCTTGTCAACATGTGGCTTTCGCCTGTGCGCCACGAGCATCAATCCCACCAGCCCTTTGGGCGTGAGTGGTTTAGAGAGCCCGCTCTGTCGTCAACCCCCCTTCTTCCCCTTCGGGGAGGGGTTTACCCCTCCCCCTACCCCCTCCCCCTGGGCCTGGAGAGGGAGTCCCGAGCGTGGTCAGGGGGGGTCTTTTTCGACTCCTGGGAGGGCTAAAAAACGACGATCCTCACAAGGATTCTGGCCCCGAGGGGGGGGGCACCGTTTGGCGCCTCCGCTCGTCTTTGAAGCAAAAATCATTGATGTTTCTAGGGTTTTGGCCCCATTTTGGGCTTCTGAAGGGGCAGCGCTCATCGTCCAGCATAGCAAAATCATTGATTTTACTGAGGTTTTGGGCTCATTTTGTCCTCCTCAGGGGGCAGCGCTCACTTGCGCTTCTGAGGAGGTCGCAAGAGGCCCCAAGATGGCCCCAAGAGGCCCCCAGGAGGCTCCCAAGAGGCCTCCAAGAGGCCCCCAAGAGGCCCCCAAGGCCCCAAGAGGCCCCAAGAGGCCCCCAAGAGGCCCCCAATAGAGGCCCCCAAGAGGCCCCCAAGAGGCCCCCAAGAGGCCCCCAAGAGGCCCCCAAGGCCCCCAAGAGGCTCCAAGAGGCCCCCAAGAGGCCCCACGAGGAGCCCGAACGACTCACACCAGGACGAGGGGCCCGAACGACTCACACCACGAAGAGCCCGAACGACTCACACCACAAGGAGGGGCCCGAACGACTCACACCAGGACGAGGCGCCCGAACGACTCACACCACGAGGAGCCCGAACGACTCACACCACGACGCGGGCCCCGAACGACTCACACCACGAGGAGCCGGAACGAGTCACACCAGGAGGAGGGGCCCGAACGACTCACACCAGGACGAGGGACCCGAACAACTCACACCACGAGAAGCCCGAACGACTCACACCAGGACGAAGAGCCCGAACGACTCACACCACGAAGAGCCCGAACGACTCACACCAGGAAGAAGGGCCCGAACGACTCACACCAGGACGAGAAACCCCAAACGACTCAAACCACGAGGAGCGTTTTCTCTCCCTCCTCCTCCGCCTCGTCCTTATACCGCTCCCCCCACAAGGAGGATGTACAAGGAGGCGGGAGGAAGGAGGAACAGGGGAGATATGCGGGGCCAAGCGGACACACGCCTGAAAAACACGACTGTCGGCATGCTTCGCAAGAGTTGTTGCTGTGAGATGGGTTGGTGGGGACACGCGAAGCGTAAAGAATTTTAAACACGTGCGAGAGCTTCACGGATTGAGAAATACCAGGAACTGTGTTTGTTTGCCGGAATCCAGATTTTGTGAGCGCAACAGTTACGTTGATTCGCGGTGTTGAATCCCAAGAATGGCGTTCTGGCACGATTCGGGATCGTCAGAACGCAACACTCCAGTTGATCCGTGGCATTGGAATCCCGAAAACGATGTTCTGGCATGCTTCAGGGTCTTCAAACGGTTGTCTTCCAACGCGGCAGTTTCTTCAGTGGAAATGAACCGTTGTAGCGGCCTCTGAAGAGGGAGTTTGGACGAGGCGAATATTTCAACATCCATGATGACTCTTGGGTTTACACTGGTCCTCCTCCTCCTCCTCCTCCTCCTCCTTTTCCTCTCTCCTCCTCCTCCTCCTCTTCCTCCTCTTCCTCCCTCCTCGTCCTCGTCCTCCTCCTCCTACACCCACCGACCCGCCCATCCATCCGTATTTGATATTACGAGTGAATATACCTTGTCGACCGCCAAATTTGTCGGGTTCCGCCACGTCCACCGGCGACCCTAGGGTTTTCCTGTTTTCCTCCGCGAGCTGTGGGTGCTTTGCGGGCGGAGGGCGCCAGGAAGTTCCAGTGGTCAGTTTTTTTCCGTCGAAAGCTTCGCACGCAGACTTCGAAACATTTGTTCATAATCATCGCCCTAACAGCCCGCATGTCGACCAACGGCGGATACGTATACAGATTCACGCATGGAAATTCAAAGATATTCACACATATGTATACAGATAGATGCGTGTGTATTCTGCATCCCCATACAGCCCTGTGGCTGTATAGCACGTGCACTATTCCTATAGTGGTCCAATGTTGCAGCGTTTCGAACTCATTCCTCTCAAGACCCTATCTCTGTATAATACGATTCGCGTCGTGCCCTATAACACCATTGCAGCATTTTTCCCCAAATCAGAACTTGCCTCTGTATGGGGTCCTAGCGGATTCATATGATTAAATAAGGTACGGCGCCGACTTCGGCGGCACGTCCGAGTGCCCGGGTGCCCAGGTGCCCGGGTGCCTGGGTGCCCGGTAGCCCTGTCGCCCTATAGCCCTACAGCCTTATAGCCTTATAGCCCTATAGCCCTATAGCCCTATAGCCCTATAGCCCTCTAGCCCAAAATGTACCGATACCGCTACCCCCCAAAGCTCTCCCGCTGTGCGTTCTGCGCAGAACCTCGCGGCGAGTCCAGCGGCGGCGACGAGGGCCTCCGAGAAGGCCCCCAGAGGAGAAAACGAGGCAAGGGTCTAGCGGTATGGGTGCGGGCAGGGCGTGCACAGTTTTTGTCCGGCGCGCGCTGACCGAGCGTGACGCAGCAGGAAGCCGCGCCCATAGCGCCGAGGCGCCGTGCCCAGGACGGGCCACCTGCACCGAATTAGGGCGTGCACAGTGCATGATGCACCACACGACCTACCCCTGAGCACGGCACAGCCTCGGAGGCTGCCCCGGCGTCAACGACCCTTGCCTGGCGAAGGGGGCCCCGGCTTCTTTGCCACAGCTCGGGCCCCAGGCGGCCGCTCGGGACGACCCGCGCACCCCGCAGGCAGGCCCTCGGCGAGGCGCGGGCGCTGGAGTGCGCGCCCCGGACGGCGAGGAGGCCTCCGCGATAAGACGAGGCGGAGGAGGAGGAGGAGGAGGAGGAGGAGGAGTCAGGAGGAGGAGGAGGAGGAGGAGGACAAGGAGGCCAGGACGAGGACACCTTCGGACGAGGAGAAATCGAGGATCTCCGAGACTGGGCCGCTCTGCAACGCGTGTGTGTGTGTGTGTATATCGGGCGCCGCGGCCTTCTCGGAAGGCTCCGGAACGCTCTGAGAGCGTCCTGGCACGACCTGGAACGGACTCTGGGACGACCTGGAACGGACTCTGGAACGACCTGGAACGCTCCGGAACGCTCTGAGAGCGACGCTCTCAGAGCGTTCTGGCACGATCTGGAACGGACTCTTTTCCTTGTCCCGGCCCCTCCCGACGAGGGGCAGCGAGAACTTGCGACGAAGACAGCCGAAAGCGCCAGGGCGGGCCTGGGGCAAGAAGGCATCCGAGGGGCAGCGAGCAGAGCTCCCGAAGACCTCCGAGAGCGCGCCCCAGGGGTGCGGCCGAAGACCTCATGGCGAGGGTCTCCTCGTCGGGAGTCTCCGCGGCCATCCTGTCGTTGACGCCCGCTTTGCTGGGCACGGGTGGCGCGGGGCGCGCGGAAAACGTGCGGGGCACCAGCGGAGAGACCGGCTCGGCTCTCCCTCCTCCTCCTCCTCCTCCTCCTCCTCCTCCTCCTCCACCACCTCCTCCTCCTTTCCTTTTCCTTATGAATAACTCATCCCTGTCGCGCCCCGAGGCCAGTCGAACTGGCGGGCCGGGCGTTTCGCCTGAGACTTCCTCCCCATCTGTGACCGTGAAGCTTAAAATTGGCGACATGTTCATAGATGGCGCACCCCGAGGCCAGTTTTTAGGGCGGGTCGGGCGTTTCGCCTGAGACTTCCTCACCACTCACGACTCCGAAGCTTAGAAATGGCAACAGCTTCGCAGATGGAGGGCGGGTGGTTTTTTCAAAAGGTAGCTCTCGCCTCAGCGCGGCGCACATTCGTGGATCTCGTGGAGTTCCGCCTTCCCCCCCCCCGACTTCCCACATGTTCTTTCCTTTTCTCATGGGGATCCGCGATGCTTTCATGCCTGCGTGCCTGTTTTCCCCCTCCCGATGCCGCGCGCGCGCCGCACGAGGGCCCGCCCCCCCACGGCGAGCGCAGCTCGGCCCCCAAAGCCGTGCCGCCCCCCTCCCGCTGCCGCTTTGGGCCGCAGCGCCTGCCACGAGGAAGCCGCGCCCTCCCTCCCGACGCGAGCGGCCCGAGAGAGGACCCCGCGTGCTGGCGAAGGGACTCGACAAGCGCGCTCCACTACTCGCAGAGTGTTAGAGGCCTGGAAGTGGGCACCAGCACCAACACAGGGGGTTTGCCCTCCCCCCCGACGCGAGCGGCCCGAGAGGGGACCCGCGTGCTGGCGAAGGGCCTATCGGGGATGGACAGACCCCCCTTTAGTAACACGTGGTTTGGTGAAGACGACCTGGGGCCCAAACCTGGCGGGCGCAAGCCTGGAGAATGACGGCCACGGCGCCCTCTCGAGAACCGAAAACAGACAATTCACTAATCGACGTGTCACTGTTGGGGGTTCTGTCCACCTCCGAGACTAGACAAGCGCGCTCCACTACTCGCAGAGTATCAGAGGCTTGGACATGGGCACCAGACGCCAACGCAGGGGGTTGCCTCCACACAGGGGGAAGAGGATCCTGGATTTCGGTGTCGGTGCTAATCCAGCAGACTGCCTACCAGACCACCCCAACCCAGCCCCAAGACCCGAATTTGACCCGACTTTCGGGCTTGGGGGGGTACGGGTTGCATGTGTTTTTCAATGTTCCCCGACCCCCCCCCCCTTCTGGAAATGGAGGGCAAATTGAGGCCTTCCGAATGGATTGGGGTGGTTTGGTGGGTGGTGACTTCCACGAGTCGCAAAGTAGCTGCTCGCAAAGGGCCTGGATCAAGCCCAGGGGAGCTACGATGTCTTACCCAAGGGCAGACGTCTGGTTTCTCGGGCGTTGGCGAGTGGGCACCTTGCGAGCAGAGGAAAGCGCCCGGCGAGAAGAGGCGAAGACTGGGCCCCCTGGGTGCGCAAGTGCCGGCGCCACAAGTCGACGGATTGGACAGTGCTCCGGGGGGCAAACCATGACAGAAACATGAAAACTCAGCGATCCACGCGGATTCCTCGGATCGGCGCTGGGCCCCTCTCCCTGGCGCGCGGAGCGCGCCCGGGGCGGTGCTGGAGGCGCCGCCAGAGGGCCCCAGCGCCGATCCGAGGAGTCCGCGCGAACCTCAGAATTCGTATGTTTATGACATTGTGTAGTCCCCGAGGAGACTGGGCCGCCTGTGCGGGCCAGCGCCAGCGCCACAACTCGATGGACTGTACAGTGCTGCCGCACAACCGGGCCCTCAACGCAACACGCCCTGCCAGCAGGCTGTTACCCCGTCCCACCAGGGTTTGGGGGCTCACGGCCGCAGCACTAGCCACCAGGGTGCAGGCACCCGCGTGACGTCAGTACAGATCGGCGAACGGACACGTGCCTTCATACAACGCCCCACGGTTGCCAGTCAACCAGCTGACCTCGACCGCGAGACTGCCCTCGCCACCGGAATCAAAAGCGACGGACGGTGAACGCCACTGACGACGACCTGAGGGCTTGCCAAGGTAGCCGTCTCCAGGCACACCATGGTGCACCAGCCGAGCGACGCACAACGACCATCGACGCTTCACGTGCCGCCACGCAAGCCCACTTCACCAGGGATACCGTTACGGATGAACCAGGCCCGCCCACCTCATGGGCCCACGCCGTCGCGTCATCCGAGCGGATGGACACCAGTCCTGACTGCGCAGCCGTCGCGTACCAGCAAGTAAGCGACGACCCATCCAAAATCCCGACAACGATCACGGCAACACCGATGATCCCACCGAGGATCCTGGCGACGATGGATGGGTACATCCCGACGCTGCAACAGTGTGCTACCAGCCGTGCTCACATCCTGCGTAGCACCCAGGAACAGTGAGGACCCCGTGTTGGCAGATTCCAAAGAGCACAGTCCACCTGGATCAACCTTCATCAGGCCCTGCGATCGCCTGCTCACCTTGGGGCCTCTCCCTAGGCAAACACAGAGGCGCGCCTCGATGCTCACCGCTTTCACACCAGTGCTAGCCTTTCCATCTTCCTGAGTGCGCTGCGAACTGCTGGCAACTGTTCCGTAGCCCTAGCACTGGGTCGCTGAGGGAGATGCCCCAAGGCAGCGGCGTTGTTCACCGACGTACCAAGGGGCGCATGCCAACGCGCGCTTGTAGCTGGCGCCGTTTGCCCAGGTGTGCAGACGGGGTGTGCCACTCCCTGATCGCCCATGAACCGCCTTGCTTTCCAGCCAGGGTCTCCTACAGAACGCGCCAGGGGTTGGGAGTTTCCACCCCTGTTCGTTCGCGGCACCTCCCACCAATGTGAGGCTGGCCCTGGCGGCATTTACAACCCGCCAGGCCAGGGCAGACGGACATGTCCGAACTGTTGCGCCTTCCCTCCCTCCCTCCCTCCCTCGGCCCTATCTCCCTCCCTGCCTCCCCCCTTCCCACACTCCCTTCTCATCCTCATCCCGCCCATCCTCCTCCTCCTCCTCCTCCTCCTCCTCCTCCTCCACCTCCTCCTCCTCCTCTCCTCCTCTCCTCCTCCTCCTCCTCCTCCTCCTCCTCCTCCTCCCCCTCCTCCTCCTCCTCCTCCTCCTCCTCCTCCTCCTCCTCCCCCTCCTCCTCCTCCTCCTGAGGGGAGGCGCGCGAAAGACTCGCGGGGCGCGCGGGGCACCGGCGGGGACGGGGACGGCGTGGAAGCGGGGGAATTCGAGGAGCAGGAGGAGCAGCACGGCGAGGAGGAAGAGGAACGCCAGGAGTGAGGATGAGAGGGTACTCCAGATTTCATAATAAAAGTAAAGAAATCTCAGCCCTCCCAGGCGAGAAGTTTTAGACCCCCCCGTGGGAGAACCCTCCAAAACATCGTCCCCAGACCCCCCCCCCAGGCCCTCCAAGATAGCCCGGAAGAGACCCCCCCCCGAAATGAGACCCCCTTTCCCTTTATTACGAAATCTGGAGTACAGGGGCAGGTTGAGTACAGTCGGGGCGTTGACCTAAGGAACCCTATAATAAGGAACGAGACCCCTTTTTTCCACGAGTGAAGCTTCGATTTCCCATCGAAAACATAAGGAAAATATGAGGCAAGCTGTGAACCAATCAAGGAACACCGAACCCCTCCCCAACGAAACGGGTTCCTTCTTCAGCGCCTCGACTGTATAGCGAGGAAGAGCAGGGAGAACAAGATGACCAGAAGGATGACGACAAACATAAGAATGAGTGAGATGAGAAGGGATGGGCGGAGAAACAGGAATGGTATTCAGGAGGATGAGAAGAAGGAAACAAGTGAGGAGCGGGGGGAGCAGTGGAGGAGGAGCAGTGGGAAGGGGGGATGAAGAGGACGAACAAAACGGATGACGAAGAGGAAGACGACGACGACGACGACGACGACGACGACGACGACGACGACGACGACGACGACGACGACGACGACGACGGTATAGACGGAGACGAGGGTGCGGACCGATCAGGAGAAGGAGAACGGCGATGATTCGGAGGACGTGTGAACAATATTTGGAACCAACCTGGCTTAAAATGCTCTTTGGGGGGAAAAGGATTCGAGTCATCCTCATCATGCGGATCAGCATGATCATCATCATCATCATCACCACCACCATCACCACCACCACCACCATCATCATCATCATCATTCGCCTGCTTTCCATGAGATTCACGGCAATCCTAATCAGCATCATCAGCAGCAGCAGCATCGTCATCATTATCACCATCACCATCAACAGGAGCAGCATCACCACTAGCATAATCATAAGCAGCATCGTCATAATAATCATCATAATCGTCGTCACCAGCGTCATCAGCATCAATATCGTCATCATCATTATTATCATCATCATCAGCACCATCAGCATCATCACCATCAGCATCATCATCAGCATCATCATCGTCGTCGTCATCCTCATCATCGCCAGCATCAGAATCATCATCATCATCATCATCATCATCAGCAGCAGCATCATCATCATCGTCGTCAGCATCATCATCATCCTCACCATCAGCATCGTCGTCATCATCATCAGCAGCATCATCATCAGCATCATCATCATCATAATCTGCATCAGCATCATCATCGTCATCATTGCATGGTCGTCATCACCATCAGCATCATCATCACCATCAGCATCGTCATCATCATCATCAGCATCCTCATCATCAGCATCAACAAACATATCACCATCGCCAGCATCAACATAATCATATCATTAAAAACAAGAACCTCGTCAGCATCCTCATAATCACCGTCGCTGTCAGCCCCAGTCACCATCATCATCATCATCATCATCATCATCATCATCATCATCATCAGCATCATCATCATCACAATCATCATCGTCATCATCATCATCGCCAGCCTCATCATCAGCAGCATCATCACAACCATCAGCAGCAGCATCCTCAATATTGCCATCATCACTATCGTCCTGATCGTCATCATCCTAATCACGATCATCATCATCATCATCATCATCACCACCACCATCAAAATAATAAGAATCATCAGCATCGTCATCATCATCATCATCATCATCATCATCATCATCATCATCATCATCAAGAGCATCATCATCATCACCATCGTCCTCCTCCTACTCCTCCTCTTCAACCTCCTCCTCCTCCTCCTCCTCTTCCTCCTCCTCCTCCTTCTCCTCCTCCTCCTCCTCCTCGTCCGAATCTTCGCGGTTGTCGCACACGTCGTTGTCTTCGTCGCTGCGTGCGGCAACAGATGGCGCCCTACTGTTGGCGCCCGCCGTGCCGCCCCTGCGCGGCGGTGGCCAGCGGGCCAAGGCTGGCCCCGGGGCCCCAAGTTCGGGGGCTGGATCTCACATATGGCCGAACTCTTCTTCTTGTTCTTCTTCCTCCTCCTCCTCCTCCTCCTCCTCCTGCTGCCTGCTCCCTGCTCCCTGCTGACTGCTCCCTCCTCCCTCCTCCCTGCTCCATCCTCCCTCCTCCTCCTCCGCCTCCTCCTCCTACTCCTATCCCTATTCCTCCTCCTCCTCCTCCTCCTGCTCCCCTCCCGTCCTGCCTTCCTCATCCTCCTTCCTCATCCTTCTCCCCCTCCTCCTCCTCCTCCATGCCTCCCCTCCGCCTCCGCCCTCCTCCAATTCCTCCTCCTCCTCCTCCCCTCCTCCTCCTCTCCTCCTCCTCTCTCCGCCTCCTCCTCATCATTAATCATCATCATCATCATCATCATCATCATCATATCATCATTCTCATCATCATCATCATCATCATCATCATCATCATCATATCATCATCATCATCATCATCATCATCATCATCATCATCATCATCATCATCATCATCATCATCGCATCATCATCATCATCATCATCATCATCATCATCATCATCATCATCATCATCATCATCATCATCATCATCATCATCATCACAGCATCAGCATCATCATCATCATCATCAATCATCATCACATCATCATCATATTCATCACATCATCATCATCATCATCATTCATCATCATCATCATCATCATCATCATCATCAGCATCAGCAGCATCATCATCAGCTCATCATCATCATCATCATCATCATCATCATCATCATCAGCATCATCATCATCATCATCAGCATCATCATCATCATCAGCATCATCACATCAGGCATCACCATCATCATCATCATCATCAGCATCATCATCATCATCATCATCATCATCATCATCATCATCATCATCATCATCATCATCATCATCATCATCATCAGCATCATCACAACAACCATCACCATCGTCTTCATCATCATCAGCATCATCATCATAATCAGCATCATCATAATCAGCATCATCAGTATCATCTTCATCAATCCTAGTCCTCATCCTCAGCATCATCAGCATCATGAGCGTACTCATCATCATCATTAATAATAACAGCATCCGCATCATCGTTATCATCAGAATCATCATCATCAGCATCATCGTCCTCATCATCGTCATCGTCATAAGTAGCATCGGCATCATCATCATCATCAGCAGCAGCAGCATCAGCATCATCATCGTCATCATCATCGTCATCAGCAGTATCATCAGCATCAGCATAATCATAATCATCCTGACCATCATCATCATCATCATCATCACCACCAACACCAACATCGTAATCGACATCATTATCATCGCCGTCATCATCATCAGCATCATCAGCATCATCGTCACCAGCAGCAGCAGCAGCAGCATCAGCATCAACATCAGCAGCATCATCAGCATCTTCATCATAACCATAATCGTCATCATCATCATCATCTTTATCATCGTCATCATCAGCATCAGCACCGGCATCATCATCAGCAGCAGCATCAGCAGTATCATCATCAGCATCATCAACATCACCAGCATCATCATCAGCAGCATCATCATCATCGTCAGTATCATCATCAGCATCATCATCAGTATCATCGTGATCATCATCATCATCACCATATGAATCATCATCACCGACGACAACAGCATCATCATTATCAGCGGCAGCATCATCATCAGCATCATCAGCACCATCGTCATCATCATCCGCATCGTCGTCGTCATCGTCATCGTCGTCGACGTCGACGGCGTCGTCACCGTCACCAGCGTAGTCGTCGTCATCAGTACCCTCGTCTCTAGATTCACCCTCATCATGGTCATCATCCTACCCCTCCTCCTCCTCTGGGCAAAATTATGTTTAGTCTGATTAGAATTCTCAGCATTAGTATTAATATTAGCATTTCTATTATTAGTATTCGTCTTCTTCGTATCATGATGATGATTATTACTACTAGTATTGCTCGTATGAGTGGTAATATAATTATTCGTAATAGTATGATTCACATTCGTGCCATTCTTACTAGTACTCGTCTGCTTCTTCTTGCTAGCAGTATTATTCGTAGTGTTAGTCCTCCTCATCCTCCCTCTCCCCCTCCTCCCCCTCCTCCTGCTCCTCCTCCTCCTCCTCCTCGTCATCCCCCTCCTTCTCTTCCTCCTCCTCCTCCTCCGCCTCTTCCTCCTCCTCCCTGCTGGGACACGGCGCCCACGAGCGGGCCTCGCCGCGTCTTCAATTCTGAGGTCTCCCTCCTCCCGCCCCTCCCTCTCCTGCTCTGGCAGGGGCTGCCCCGTTGAGCATTGTTCAATCGATCCCCAATCCCACTGGCGTGGCCTGGGCCCCCACTGGCCGATTCACCCCCCTAGATGGGGCTGTGGGCTGCTCCCTTGAGGTCTCGAGGGGTGGCGGGATGCTTCGGACGAGGCACCATGGGGCCCGGTGGGGATGGGGACAGGTTGCACGATGCTGACTCGTACACCCTGCGAGATGCTTAAGATATCATGGGTTAAGAAATTCATAGTCTCAGATCTTGAGTAAAAACCCAACATTTCGATTCAAAACTTAGGATTTGCATTGAAACATTAAGAATAATCGAGACTCTGGCCGAAAACTTGGGTTTTCTTAAGAATCGCCTAGAGTGTACAGGGGGGCTGCTGCGACCCATGCAAAGGGCTGCTCCGTTCCGTCGATGGGCCCCTCTGCCCGGCCCCTCCCGCCCTCCTCGGGGGTTGAGGTCTTCGGGGCCCTGGCAGGGTCAAGGCCACAGCCGTTCGAGGGACGGCCCTCCGAAGGGGGGAGAACAGGAGGAGGAGGGAGGGACGAGCGAGGAGCGAGGAGGGAGCAGGAGCGGGGAGGAGGGAGGAGGGAGGCCGGATGAAGGGGGAGGTCAAAAGAGCGAGGAGCGAGGAGCGAGAAGGCAGGGAGGAGCGAGGAGGGAGGCGCGAGATGGAGGAGAGGGGGGAGGAGAGGAGAGGGGAGGGGAGGGAGGGAGCGGGCCGAGGGACGGGAACGGGACGGGACGGGGCGGAGGGGATGCGGTGGAGGCCTAAGCTTGTCTATCACGTCCTCGATGTCGAGGCAGTTCTGCGCCGCCGCCGCCGGCGACGGAGCGCACGGACAGGGAGCGGCACGCGACCCACCAGCGGGCGCGCGCCCCCCGCGCGCGGAAGCCTCGTGGGGCTCTCGCCGGCTCCTCCCTCTCGGGTGTCGCCGAGACTGCCCCTGGCCTTAGATCGGGCCTGTCCCCTACAAGGGGCTTTTTTGGACGAAAAATAAGAAATACCCAAAAAATATTCAAGACATACACAAAAATGGTCAAAAGGTCGTCCCCCGACTATTTTTCACTATTTTTGAATATATTCCCTCTGTAGAGGGACAGGCCCGACTTAACCCTGGCCCAAGCCCACGGCCTGCGGAGCACCCCTCGCGAGGCCTAAAGAGGGCCCCCCACAGGGGCTCCAGAGCTAGGGGCCTCCTAGATGGGGTCGGAGAAGATGGGGCCGGAGGATCGCGCCCCATCGGCGATACATCGGCGATGCATCGGCGATGCACCGGCGATGCACCAGCGATGCATCGTCGACGTCGGCGATGCATTTGCGACGTCGACGTGAAGCAAATCGGGCCCTGCATCGAGGCGCAGCGGCGATGCATCGGCGATGCGGCGCGATCCTCCGACCCCGTCTACTCCGACCCCATCTAGGAGGCCTAGCAGAGTGGAGCCAGAAGCTGGGGGCTCCATGGGCCAGGGGCACCTCTGGCAAGACCCCGACCCGCCTCCTCACCACGGCCTCGCCATCGCTCGGACGTATATTCCCCGTGCACGTTTTGGCTTCGTGCTTTGTATCCTTAGCACGATGACCTCGAATGCTCCTCGATGGTCCTTGCCGAGAAGAGAATGTACACGTCCGAGCGATGCCAAGTGGCCAGGAGGTGGTCATGGCGGTTCACCGCCCTGGAAGGAGGGTCGGGTCGGACGAGAGGCGAGAGGGGGGCTAACACATGGGGTGGCTGGCGAATCAGCTCGCGTATGGTAGGTTACCCGGCGCCTGCCGGCGCCGGGAGGCGCCCGTGTATCGAGGAAGGCGCACGGCGACATGGCCGAAACCAGCTGCATGCAGCAGAGGTCGCCCCTCCCCCTTCCCCATCGATCCCCTGTCGTTCGCCCCGACGCCCTGATAACGGGAGAGGGGAGGGAGGGTCGAGGATCGAAGATGACTCAGAGGTCGAGGCCTGCGGGGGCGAGAGAGAACTCCGGGCCTCTCCGCGGATCTTGGGGGGGGGGGGGTCCATTAGGGGGGGGGACCCATCGCACTGGAATCGGCGACGTATCGCCAAGCAGATCCGCGACAGGGGCCCCCGATAGCGAAGCTGGGACGCTCCCTGGGCAGAGAGGGGCACCATTCGGGCATCGGCCGGGGACGACGGGGGCGATCCAGGGAGGCGATGTTTCGCCCCCTGGGCCCGAGCCCTTCTTCGACACCCCCTTCCCTACAGTAGGGGCGCGCATCAAGAAACCGTATGCTTTTCGCCAGGGTGTCCTGGGCTTCTTCGCTCCTCGCGCCGCGCGGCGACTTCCCGCAGCCGTTGAAGGAGCTGCTGCGTTCAGGGTGCTCCAGGTTTCCCCTCAGGTACACCTCGCGCACGGGTTCTCAGGGCTGGGTTTCTTGCGAGGGTTTCTTGCGCCCGCGCCCGCACTGTACCCTTTAAGTCGGGCGTGTCCCTCTACAGGAGGAATATCCAAAAATAGTCAAATAACAAATAGTCTGGTGACGACTCTCTATCATTCTTTACTATTTCTCACATGTGTTGGTTATTTTTGTTTTCGTCCAGAATCCGCTTGTAGGCAGACACGCCCGACCTGACCCTCCCCCGCTCGGGACGCGCTGACCCGGGTCCGCCAGGGCCACGTCGTGGCCCCCGGGGGCCGCATCGTGGCTCCGAGGAGGAGGATGGGGGGAGGGGGGAGTGCGGAGGGAGGGGAGGAGGAGGAGGAGGAGGAGGAGGAGGAGGAGGAGGAGGAGGAGGAGGAGGAGGAGGAGGAGGAGGAGGAGAGGGGTCTCCGGGGGGGGAGGGGAGGAAGGGCGAGGTCGGGCACGCGTGGCTTCCAGATCCGAGTCGGCCGGGATGGGGGCGGAGAAGACTGGCTGGGCCAGCCCCCGCTACGTGCGCCCCGACCCACCCGTCCATCCCGACCGGCAGGTAATGCGGCCAGCCCGTAGAAGAAGGATGCGCGGTCAGGATGCAAGGGCCCTGGACGACCATTTCGAAGCTTCTCGAGCGGGGCGCGGCCAGCGAAAGTGGCCAAGGGTGGGCCGAGGAGGCAAGGATGCAAAGGTACGGTTGGGGAGGTTGCCCATCCCTGCTATACGGGTTGACTGTATCGCCGAGGCTCGCGGGAGGGCGAGGAACACCCCCGTTTGTCCACGAGCTCTTCCTCGGAGGCGAGAAGCAGGAGTAATGTACCCTGCTGAGAAACCTTCAATTACTGATACTAGTATATTGATACAACACGTGTGTATACATATGTGTGTGTGTGTGCATCTTCTCACGGGTATGATGCATATATGTATATGTTTCGCTCCTTCTCCTCCTCACGCTTGCCCCTCGGCATTCCACTCCTCCCCATCATCCTCATTCGGTTCCCCTCCCCCCCAAACCTCCCTCCACAGCGTGCCGCTCCCTCCCCGTTTCCTCCTGGACCTCTGCAAGGATGCATTCCGACCAGAATGTCGAGGCCTATCTGCCTGCGGCGGCGAGAACCACACTGCCCCTTCCCCCATAAACCAGGAATACACAGCACGAAAGAACAGCGGGGAGAAAGATAGAAGATAAAAAACAAAGGAAGAATAATGCAGTCGAGGCCGTGTACGGAAACACCCGAGAGGACAAGAGTCTTTTCCGAGGGCAATCCTTGCTCTGGACACAAAGAGGGCCGAAATCGCCATAGGCAAGATACCCGCGGGGTGCCAATCGGTCGGAATAAGTGGGTACGTAACAACGCGAAGTCAGAAGGCGTTGGAAGTAGGTTTCCGCCCGCCTCATGAGGAGAAAGGAAAAAGGAAAACCAGTCGAAATAGGAAGGCGCCTAAAAAATTGTAATGTTGGGGTAAAATACGTGCGTTCAGCGACCGATGGGTGCCCCCGCTTCTCCGGGGTCGGCCTACGAACCAGGCCAAACTGAAGGAGGAGCAGCAGCAGAACGACGGCCCGAACGAGGACGATGGATAGAGGAGGAGGAGGAGGAGGAGGAGGAGGAGGAGGAGGAGGAGGAGGAGAAGGAGGAGGAGGAGGAGGAGGGAAGGAGGAGGAGCAGGAGGAGAGGAGGAGGAGGAGAAAGCGGGGGCGCGCTGTGTAAAAAAAAACGGGGGGAGGAGGGAGGGAGGGAGTGAGGGACGGGCCGGCGGACGGGCGGGCGGGAGGAGGAGGAGGAGCACGAGGAGGGAGGAGGAGGAGGAGGGAGACTCACCTCAGGGAGGGACGGCTAGTCGAGCCACAAAAGAAACTCAGCAAGTTGGGATGAAGTGTACGGCCAGCCCTGCGTTGCCGACGGCGCTGGAGGGACAAGTAAGACATGCCGGAGTTTGGGTTGTGTGCCGTTCCAATATCATCTCGCGTGTTATGTACCCTTGCAAGCAGGATATCAGTGGCCAGCCTGAGTTTCATGGAACGCAATGGGTGACACGAACGGTCAGGCAGCATAACATGGACATCACTTTCACAGGTGTATATCTCAACGACGGCGAAGGGGCACATGGCACCAACGGACACATTCTGGCAGAGCTGGCAGGATACCTCAGGACCAATACAAAGTATTACGTTATCATGGGAGGTTGGAATATGACACCAGAAGATCTATGGCAGACAGGCTGGGTCAACTTCGCCAGGGGTACCATCTCCAAGCACCAGGAGTCCTCACGAACACGGGCGGCAAGGGCAGGATTTTGGATTCTGGAGTGGTTTCAGAGGAATTGTCGGCCCTAGTCACTCTTGAACTTGATGAAAGGGGACCTGGTCACTACATATCGGTATTCAGGGAGTTTTCACTTTCAATGTGGACCATGTGACAACGCGTACGATGGTCAAACCGACACCTATCCTTCCGTCCTATGGGCCAGACCTACCATGGGCATTGTTTAGGGCTGAAGTGAAGACCACGACTCCAGTGGACTACGCGGTCTGGTCTGAGGCCACCAGTACCAACTTGAGTCACCAGTACGCAAGTTTTTCGCAGCAAGCAGAAGCCTTTCTCTTACACAGATGTGGACAGGAGATAAGAAAGTGTCGACGAGGAGATTGCCCCCAGGTCAAAGTCTCAAATATTCTGGCTGGTCGACCCCCTGGAAAGTTCGGTATCATGGAAGATGTGTGTTTCTGGGGGGGATCAGGTCCAGGGTCCAGGGGCTTTTCGTACTCAACAAGAGTGGCAATGAGAAGGAGAAGGAGAAGGAGAAGGAGAAGGAGGAGATGAAGGAGAACCAGGAGAAGACCATCTGCAAATAGCTGCAAGCATGGGCACAGGAACCACAGCCGACCGCTGCTTTGGCAAACGTTCCAGAGGCAGTGCGTCCCACAGGTGCAGAACTGTTGGCAGGACTTGCTGAGCTGCCCGCAGAGCCAGTAAAAGTGATAGACCTCTTAAGCACGACCAAGGAGGTAAGGCCAAAATAAGTCTCGCAGCCATGAAGGAGCAGAACGCTGGCTTCCAAAAGTTCCTCCAGCAGAGCCTCGCCGAGGGGGCCAGTTGGGCCCATCGGTTTAGCAAGACCATCGACCGCGCATGGGAGGAGAGCCACTCGAAGTTGCAGAGCGTAGAGAAACGCTGGCAGCATGTGTGTGGGCACCTTGCAGCAGTCCAGGCAACCCTTATAGACATGAGTTGGGCGCCCAATTCGCCAGGGGAATGGACCATCCTGTGCGGGGAGAGAATACATGGTGAAGGTCCAAACGGACCAGACTGGCTCAAATGCAAGGTAGAGTCCTCCCTGGAGCAGAGCTTGTGGGCCCAAGCTAGTAAACACTTTGCGGGGGCTGGAGCCGAATTCCGTGTCGATTTGACTGTCACTTGGGCCCACTTGAAAAGCCTGCGACGCAACGGTTTAACCAAGTTAGCGGCTGGCTTGGAGATGGTTAGCCAGGGGGCCGTGTGGCCCGCTCGGAGACGTGTTGAACACACTCGGTTGGGTTCCCCGATCTGCCCAAGGTGTGAAATAGCAGACGCATCCCTGCATCCTCAACCCTGGGAATGCCCAGCAAACGCTATCATTCCAGAGTACGAAGTAGATGACGCCCTCTGTGCGCAGGCCGAGGTGGGAACTGAAAGACACCCGTGTGTTGGGGTTGCGAGGCCTGGTCCCGACTTTGTGGGCCATGGCGGGGACGGACACCCCGCTCCCCACGGAGGAAACTGCTGTTGAAGGAGAACGGCCCACGGTAGGCCAACTACAGCTCCCGCCAGATGTCACAGTAGGTACAGATGGCTCTGGAGGAGAGCACTCGAGGGAAGCTCGCCTGAGAAGGGTTGGATGATCGTTCGCCGTCCACGGCGATGGAGAGGTGAAAGCATCCATTCGAGGAAGTGTGGCTGGCCCTAGGCAGACTGTTCCCAGGGCCGAACTTTTAGCGTGCGTCAGGTCGTTTTGCAGCAAAAAACAAGGGGACGCTCGGGTGGTCGTGGATGCCACTTATGCTACTAGGGGAATTCACAAAGGCAGACACGCCGCCCACTCTTCCAATTCAGATGTGTGGTTTTAGAATGTTGGGCGGCCCAGGATGCCCGTATTGGAAATGTTGTGCTCCGAAAGGTCAAGTCACCTGTCGGAGCAAGAGATTGGACAAAGCATCTCGGCCGCAGATTGGGCGGCCAATGATGCGGCTGGCAAGTTGGCTGACAGGGCCGCTGAGGAAGCTGGGCCGCCCTATGCTTTAGTTGTGCAAGTCTCAGGGGCGGACAAGCTGGCCTGGAGAGTGCAGAAGCGCCTCATAAGTGTGTCACTTGAAGTTGCTAAGGGTGCTAAGGATTTCTACAGCGCGACCCTGAAGGGAGACGTGGCTGCCAGAACTAGGTTCGATTCCCATGCCCTGGCCGAAAAGCGAGTTTGGGCGGCCCGAACCACTTCGAACTCGTTGCAAGAAACTCCCAAGGGTTTCAAATGGTTGGCCTGTCTCCGTATCAGTTCCAAGGCGGGGTTAGTAGAATTCTGCCAGCAAGAGTGCGGAAGGCGACCCTTCCAGATCCGCAGCACTCGCAAAGTAGAGAACTATCGTGGACTTTGGTTTAGTAGGATGTGTGTGGCCCAAGGGGCCAAGAGGTTTGCTAATCTTTCGGAGCCGTGTGAGAAGCACCTCAACAAAGAAGGACAACTCACCCTGAAGAGGCTCGATGCTGGAGAAAAGCCCAAAGGGGTTGCAGTCTGGCCTGATGCGGACAGGACCTGAAGGGACTCCACTCTCACCATCTCGCGACAGCTGGGCCGACGACTGCCGATTGGTTCGTCGGCCGCGGCTGCCAGGAGACGGGGTGGCGTATCTTTTCGGGTACGGTCAACATATTTCTTTTTGATTGTATTTTCCCGCTTTGCGGGGTCCCGTGGAGAATCACGGAAGAGGAGGGTTCTGGGGTCAGGGGAGGTGTTCTCCCGCTGGATTCCCTCCTTTTTAGGCGCGGGGAGTAGACTCGTCGGTACGCCTCAGGCTGTGGCGCGGGAGGGAGGAGGAGGGAAGGAGGGAGGAGGGGGGGGGGAGGAGGAGGAGGAGGAGGAGGAGGAGGAGGAGGAGGAGGAGGAGGAGGAGGAGGAGGAGGAGGGAGGAGGAGGAGGAGAAGGAGGAGGAGGAGGAGGGAGGAGGAGGAGGAAGAGGAGGAGGGAGGAGGAGGAGGAGGAGGGCTTATGAAACAGGCAACACGCTAGAGGCGAGAGGGCGCTCACTTCTCGGGGCGAACGAAAGGGGGGGATAGCAAAGGGTAGGGTAGAGAATCAGCTCACGTAGCTAATTTTCCCAGCGCCTCCCGGCGCCGGGAGGCGCCCATGTATCGAGGAATGGGCCTGGCGGCGGGGCCGATTCCAGCTGCATGCAGCAGATTTGGTACCCCCCCCCCTTTCCCTATCCCCCCCTTTCGTTCGGCCCGAACTTCCAGTGAGATGCATCCAGCTGACGGCGGTGGTGCAGCAAGCTGCAGTCGAGGTTTTCGGGGGCCCAAGTCCCAGGTGGGCTGGAGAGGAGGAGGAGGCACAGGAGATCCAGGAGGAGGAGGAGGAGGTGGCACAGGAGAAGGAGGAAGAGGAGAATGAGGTGCAGGAGCAAGAGGGGGAGGGGGAAGGGGAAGAGGAGAAGGAGGATAGAGGATAGGAGGAGGAGGCGGAGGAAGAGGAGGAGGAGGAGGAGAAGGAGGAGAAGAAGAGGACGACGACGACGACGAATGTCAGAACACGCAGCATGAGAGAGCGGCCTGCCGGCTGGCAAGCGGTAGTGCTCTGTCCCCTCCCCCAGAGGGAGGAAGGAGGGAAGAGGAGGAGGAGGAGGAGGAGGAGGAGGAGGAGGAGGAGATGGAGATGGAGATGGAAATGGAAATGGAAATGGAGATGGAGATGGAGATGGAGATGGAGATGGAGATGGAGATGGAGATGGAGATGGAGATGGAGATGGAGATGGAGATGGAGATGGAGATGGAGATGGAGATGGAGATGGAGATGGAGATGGAGATGGAGATGGAGATGGAGATGGAGATGGAGATGGAGATGGAGATGGAGATGGAGATGGAGATGGAGATGATGGATGGAGATGGAGATGAGATGGAGATGGAGATGGAGATGGAGATGGAGATGGAGATGGAGATGGAGATGGAGATGGAGATGGAGATGGAGATGGAGATGGAGATGGAGATGGAGATGGAGATGGAGAGATGGAGATGGAGATGGAGATGGAGATGGAGATGGAGATGGAGATGGAGATGGAGATGGAGATGGAGATGGAGATGGAGATGGAGATGGAGATGGAGATGGAGATGGAGATGGAGATGGAGATGGGGGAGATGGAGATGGAGATGGAGATGGAGATGGAGACGCAGATGGAGAGGAGATGGAGATGGAGATGGAGATGGAGATGGAGATGGAGGAGGAGGAAGGAGGAGGAGGAGGGGGGAGCGGATGAGAGAGAGGAGGAGGAGGAGGAGGAGGAGGAGGAGGAGGAGGAGGAGGAGGAGGAGGAGGAGGGAGAAGGAGGACGAGGAGGAGAAGGAGGAGGAGGTGGGAGGGAGGGAGGGAGGGAGGGAGGGAGGGAGGGAGGAGGAAGGAGGGAGGAGGAAGGATAAAAGAGGAAGGAAAAAGAATCCGCCGACCCTGTCGGCATGTGTGAGGGGTCTATCCGTTCGAGTCGGCTTCCGTTGGTGTCGTCCAAGAAGCCAGAAATCCTTCTAGTGCCTAACCGACATCCGCCGACCCTGACATCCGTCAAGCCTGGCGAGAGAAAAACCTAGCAATGACGTAATCAAATCGAAGGGAAGCCCCTTGCCTTTGATCCCTCCCCCGTCGGGGGGGGTCCTGACGGGGGTGGGGCTGGGGGGGGGTCAGATACGTATCCCCCCCAGGGGGTTCCAGGGCTTGAAAAAAAGTCCCAACACAAGCCCCAGAGTGCCCCAATGCTCCTCCACATGATCACCACCCTCGTCCTCCTCCTCCTCCTCCTCCTCCTCCTCCTCCTCCTCCTCCTCCTCCTCCTCCTCCTCCTCCTCCTCCTCCTCCTCCTCCTCCGTCTGCCTCGTGGTCAGCGTCGTCGTCTTCAGGGCCAGCGGCACCAGTCGTAAGGCCTTCGCAATACAGAAGGAAGGAGGAGGAGGAGGAGGAGAAGGAGAAGGAGGGAGGAAAGAAAGATGCCGACGGGGTGCAGGAGGAGGAGGAGGAGGAGGAGGGAGGAGGCATCCGGCGGGGCTGGCTGGCGGCCAAGTCGCCGCGAGGACGCCCTGCCCGTTCGCGGCGTCCCGCCAACCCCTCGCCGCAGGGGCGGGTCCTGGGTGCTAATGTTGTGATACTTGGCGAGGAACTTGAGCCTCGGGAGGCGTGGAGCGGCGAGGGGGCGGAGAGGGGGGAAAAGGGGAACGGAGCACGGAGCACGGAGCACGGAGGAGCGAGGAACGAGCAGCGAGAATCGAGCAGGGAGAGGAGCGAAGCGCGAGGCAAGACGCAGCAGAAGAAGCAGCGTCCTGTTCGGCATCGGGGCGCACCCCCCGGGAGCCCAGACGCTTAGGAGAAGGAGGAGGAAGAGGAGAAAAAAGGGCAGCACTCGCAAAGGACCTACTTCACGAGGAAGCACTCGCGTACGATCTATTTCACTTGAAAGGTTTTGAGGCTCAGGATTTCAAGCTCAAGCTTTTTGTTGCCCGCAGCTGTGGGGAACCCTGAAAAGGGCACGAAGGAGCACAGCGACAAACTCACTGCGAACCACACCCTGCAGAACAAGCTGCGCACGGCGGAGGAGCAGATCCAGGCGCTCCAGGATACGGGCCGCGGGATGGGGCGCGCGGCCCAAGGCGAGGCCACCCGCGGCGACAGCCTCAATGCTCCTCTGGAGGGCATCGCAACGAGCTATGCCCCCTGCCGCAGCAGAGCGAAGGCTGGAGAGGAAAAGAAGAGGAGAAAGGGAAGCGCCACCAAGGGGGAGTGGCAGCAGGAAAACTTGAGAAACGCACCACCAATGAGAACGAAGGACAGTTCTCTCACAGCTGCTAGTCTGGCTCAAAGTAGGGCTCTCGGTTGAGTCCACTCTGTCATAGCGCCCCTGCGCTGTGAAGCATTTGGGGGCTCAACGGACCAACAGCCATATGGACCTTCACAGTTGCATTTGAAAGCTCCATTATGTGGTGCGCAGCAACCGTAGTCATGGGCGTCGCCGTTGCCATAGAAGCACTGCGAGAAAGACAATAAGGATGCATAGGAAACGGAAGGCAAAGGCGAGGAGGGGAAACAGCAACGACGCACGCGAAGAGTGCGAACTAATGGGATGGGGAGGGGGAAGAGGAGGAGAGGGAGGCATGAGGAGGAGGAGGAGGAGGAGGAGGAGGAGGAGGAGGAGGAGAGGGAAAAGGAAGAGGTGGATAAGCAGCAGCAGCAGCAGTATGGCCACCAAACCATGCTATTCACAGGTGTGTGCTTTGGTTTGTTGGTCAGGGGTGCCACCAAACATTGCTATTCACATGGTTGGTTTTTGTTGTTGTCTAAAAGAGATCTTCTAACGTCGTTGGCATGTTTTCTGAACGCCCGAAGCCAAAATAAGGTGAATCGCATTGTTTGGTGGGATCGTGGCCCTCGGTTCCAAATCTCTGGATCCTCTGAAAGCCAAAGAGCTGTGAATAGCAGCGTCTGGTCGTACTTCTGACCAACAACCAAAAAAACATGAGAATAGCATGGCTTCGTGGCACACAATCCCACCAAACATTGCTGTTCACAGGTGTGTTGGAATTTAAAGCGTCCACAAGACCTCCTGGCCACGTTTGTGGATCTCTTGAAAATCAGAAAAACTGTGGATACCAGTGTTTGGTGGCATCCCTGGCCAAAAAAAATAAGCGGAAACTATAAATAGAATGATTTGGTGGCCACGCTTGCTCCTCCTGCAGGCTTTCCTGGTGAAGGGAGATGAAGAGGAGGAGCAAGGAGGAGGAAGGGGAACAAAGAGAAAGGAAGAGAGCGTGAGAGAAGGAAAAGAACGAGAGAGAAAGAGAGATAACACGGCGATTGGGCAAGGAGGGGTGCTGATGGGGGGGGCTGACCATGTGTATATGGAGAGAGGGAGAAAGAACGAGAGAAAGACAGAGTGAGAGAGAGATATAGATATATGTATAACAAAAAAGAGAGAGAGAGACAAAGAGAGAGAGAGAACCAAATATACATATATACACATATATATACATATACATATATATACATACATTTACATATACATACACATATACATATATGATGTTTGCCAGCGCGGTCACCAAACAGTAACTTACTGCACTCCAGATGCCTCATATACAAGGCGCAACGCGAGTGGCCCTGCAGGCTGCGAGATACAGGATGCGCAGGGGAACGCAGCGGAACTCCGCTGGACTCGCGGCAGGCTGTACGGTGCCAGCTGTGCGGTGCAGGATCCGTGGTGCAATCTACTTGCCGTCGCTCGGACGTCCGTTTCCCGTGCATGTCTCCTCTCCGTGCGTGTCTCTTTTGGCCCGATGGTCCAGGATGGTCCTCGATGGTCCTCGCCGAGAAGACATGCACACGTCCGAGCGATGCCAAGTCTGCGTGGTGCCAGCTGCGGGGTGCAATCTGCAAGGGCTCCCAGCCTCGCGCTGCGCGCTTCGCGCGAGAGCGCGACGCGCGAAGCGCTTCGCGCGCTCTCGCGCCGCCTCCCGGGGGAGGAAGAGGAGGAGGAGGAGGAATCGGAGCCGAAGCGCGGGGCGCGAGGCGCGAACCACTCCGCGCCCTCGAGGGGCGCCCTCGAGGGTCTGCGCGGTGCGGCGGCCGCGGGGCGGCCACGGGGCGGCCCCACGGGGGGAGGCCCCGGGGCGGCGCCCCCCACGGGCGGCCACGCGGGGCGTGCCCCCGCGGGGCGGCCACGGGTGCGGCACGCGGGGCGGCACGCGGGGCGGCCACGCGGGGCGGCCAGCCCGAAGAGCAGAGCCCGCGGGCCAAGCCACGCAGAGGTCCTCTCCGCAGGACGGAGGCGATGGCCCCCAGGGGGCGAGCACGAGTTTGGGGGAAGAGAGAGAGAGAGAGAGAGAGAGAGACGACAGCAACAACAACAACAACAACAACAACAACAACAACAACAACAGCAACAACAACAACAACAACAACAACAACAACAACAACAACAACAACAACGACAACAACAACAACAACAACAACAACAACAACAACAACAACAACAACAACAACAAAACAACAACAACAACAACAACAACAACAACAACAACAACAACAACAACAACAACAACAACAACAACAACAACAACAACAACAACAACAACAACAACAACAACAACAACAACAACAACAATTACTAGCACGTGGGGACACTCCGTTCTCACCAGTGCCAGGGTTTTCATAGGAGGCGGGCAATACCCCCACTTTGTGGGGGGGCCGGTTCAAGCTCTACCAAATTTCCAAACGACTCTTCGCCACCACCCACACCCAGCTTCCCGCCCTATGACGTTCGGACACTTCACTTCGTGGCATGCGGACGACCGTGGCTACTATTCAGGGCCCCGCGGCCGACGACGACGGCGTGCGCGCGCGAAGAAAAAACGAATGTGTCCCGCATGGTATTATTTGACAGGGATGATGGCCCTGGCAGGTGCGCAACCGTTGTTGCAGAAGTTCGAAAAAGTTGCTCGCAAAAGCCCGTTTGACAGAAATGATTTAAAAAGTGTTGGGTTTCCTACGAATCCGCAAGAGCGCGCGGGATGAAATTTTGACAATTTTGTTTTGAAAAACCATTGGTTTTTTGATGTTTTTATGTTAAAATCGCTACGAAAACTAAGGTTTTGGAAGGATTTCGTCTTGCGCGCGCGAATGTCCACTTTACCTTATTTTTTGCAAGGGATTCTTGAAGTTTGATTATATTAGAACAAGAAATGTCATTTTATAGTGTTTTTGCAAGGGAAAACGGATTACAACAAAACAACCGGATCTGGATCACATCGTTTTACCTGAGGCTTCCTCACGAAAATGATGAAAATGTAGCTGCGGCCTAGGCGGCGCAGGGGGGGCGCGCACCAGGGGGCCCAACAATAATTATTCTTTAGAATAAATAATGTTCAACACCAACAAACAACAACAACAACAACAACAACAACAACAACAACAACAACAACAACAACAACAACAACAACAACAATTACTAGCACGTGGGGACACTCCGTTCTCACCAGTGCCAGGGTTTTCATAGGAGGCGGGCAATACCCCCACTTTGTGGGGGGGCCGGTTCAAGCTCTACCAAATTTCCAAACGACTCTTCGCCACCACCCACACCCAGCTTCCCGCCCTATGACGTTCGGACACTTCACTTCGTGGCATGCGGACGACCGTGGCTACTATTCAGGGCCCCGCGGCCGACGACGACGGCGTGCGCGCGCGAAGAAAAAACGAATGTGTCCCGCATGGTATTATTTGACAGGGATGATGGCCCTGGCAGGTGCGCAACCGTTGTCGCAGAAGTTCGAAAAAGTTGCTCGCAAAAGCCCGTTTGACAGAAATGTTTAAAAAGTGTTGGGTTTCCTACGAATCCGCAAGAGCGCGCGGGATGAGATTTTGACATTTTTTGTTGAAAAACCATTGATTTTTTGATGTTTTTATGTTAAAATCGCTCCGAACACTAAGGTTTTGGAAGGATTTCGTCTTGCGCGCGCGAATGTCCACTTTACCTTATTTTTTGCAAGGGATTCTTGAAATTTGGTTATGTTAGAACAAGAAATGTCATTTTATATTGTTTTTTGCAAGGGAAAGCGGGGGGGAACAAAACAACCGGATCCGGGCCAACCCGTTTTGCCTGAGACTTCCTCACGAAAATGATGAAAATGTGGCTGCGGCCTAGGCGCGGCGGGGGGGCCGTGCACCAGGGGCCCCAACAATAATTATTCTTTAGAAGTAATAATGTTCAACAACATCAACAACAACAAAGTAACAGCAACGGCAACAGCAGAAACAACAGCAGCAGCAACAACAACAACAGCAACAACGACGACGACGACAACAACCACAATCACAACAACAACAACAACAACAACAACAACAACAACAACAACAACAACAACGACAACAACAAAGCAAGGGCGGCCAGCGCCGACCCGTCACGGGTCGCCTGGCCGCCCTGGCCTTAGGGCAAGGGCGGCCAGCGCCGACCGTCGGGACCCCCCCCCGGCAACAACCACAACAACGACCCCCCCCCCCCCCCCACAACACCCACAACAACGCCATTGAATTCGATTTGTGTGAACATCTGCGGACCTCCTCTCTGGCACCAACGAATCCCTGCTGGCAAAAAGCATGTGTGCACCGGCGAAGCAAGGAATTCC